CTGAGGAGCAGGGGAGCTCCTGCCTGGATCCTGCCTGCTGGGAGCTCGTTTGACCCTTTTTGTGCAGTCAGGAATGATATTGGCACTCCCCTGAGGGGTGGTGGCTTTCCAGGGATGCAGGGATGTGGATCCATCGCAGCAGAGCCCTGTCCTTGTGGGGAGACCTTTAGCATCCCCTTCCTCATTATTTGCACCCTCGTCACCCCCTGTTCTTGTCAGGGAAGGTTCTGTGGGTCAGTTCTGCAAGAAACTCACTGGTTTAGGGTCCCCAAAGAGAAGGATGTGCTGAGGGTCCTGTCCCCCCCAGCTGCCATCCCTGTGTGGGGAGGGATCCCGAGCTGTCACCAGCACCCCGGGGCAGGAGGAGCTCAGAGGAGCCAGGCAGGAGCGAATGTGTGGCTGCACCTCCTTATTTAATCCATGAATTTCACTGCATTTGCCATTCCAGAAGCTCCTGTGAACACCTCAGCCAGGTCTGCTCCCCAGATTTCATTTCAGCGCTGAAGATGACAGAATTTCCTCCTGACCCTGTGTGGGCACGAGGTCTGCCCAGCTCTGCGGGCAGTGGGCACGGGGAGCTGGAGGTGGCCGTGCCTGCCTGGCCCCAAATCCCCAGATGCAGATGGCCCGGGCGAGGCAGGAGGCAGAGCTGGGGCTGCCAAGGCTGTCACACAGAGCTGGCACTGCTGTGCCAGCCTGGGCAGGGGGTGGCAGCCAGAGTGGCATCCCAAAGGCTGGGCTGAGCCTCCACCCACAGCTGGGAGCCCAGGCAGGGTGAGGGAGGGGACACCCGCTGCTGTGCCAGGCAGGGGGCTCCTGCCCCCGCGCCCACCCTGCAGGGCCCACCCTGCAGCCCCAGAGTGTCACTGTCACCTGCTGGGGGCAGAGGAGGAGCTGCCAGAGCCAGCAGACCGAGCATCCCACACACGATCATGTGCTGGAGATGAAAAACCCATTTCCCCTCCTGGACGAGGCCGTGCTGCTCCTGGGAGCGGGCTGGGATCTCTGCCTGGCACTTTGTTACTGCAACAAACCCCGTCAGATGTTCCATATTGATGTGACGATGAACTCGAGCCGTGGTAAACCACAGGGAAGTGTTTGTCTGCAGGAGCCCGTGTGCCAGAACACGAGGCTGCTCCGAGCCCTGCCGGGATGCTGGGCCGGGTGGATGCGTGGAGGAAACGCTGGCTTGAGGACAATTTTCCTGCTCCAGCAAGCCTCACTTCGGGATATTTGCTGTTTTTTCAGTCTTTCTGGCTTCCCAGAGGAGGCTGTCCTTGCTTTCATCACCTCCCTGAGGAGCCTGGCACGGCACACAGAGGGTCTGGAGGAGCCAGGGGGGTGGGAATGTTTGCAGAGGATCTGATCCCTCACTCGGAGAGTGGTCAGGTCCCCGTGCTCCAGCACAGCTCGTCCTCCTCAGATGTTAATGAGGTTCTTAGAGCAGCAAAGCCAAGCCCACTGCAAAGGTTGCCTGGATCAGAGTTGAAGGGGCTCTCTCCGTGCATCTGCAGTGCTGTAATTAAATAATCCCCTCGTAGCCATGGCAACGTTGTCTCCCCGTCCTCTCCCACTCGCTGCTTCTCTGCCAGAACTTCCAGGCGTTGATTTGGTTCTGACAGCCCTGGGGGGGCTCTGAGAGCTGTGGGACAGCAGGGCTGCTCCTGCAGGAGCCCCTGTGCCTGGCAGAGCACTGCCCCTCACCTGCTCTGTGGCACAGGGGTGGATCCTGGAGCCATCCCCACCTCGGGGAGCTCCACGGCACCCTGGGGATGCTCCTCAGTTATTTGTGCTCAAGACTCCCCTCTCCTGTGTGTGCTGGCTCTGCCCCGTGGATGCGGTTCCCTCATCCCACCACTCCTGCTCCTTCGCTCCCTGCCTGTGTCTGAGGTCTCCAGGAGCAGCAGTTTCCAGGCAGGGATTTCCACAGCCCGGGGCACCCACGTGCCTCGCTCAGCACAGCATTCCCACCCCTGCACGCTGGAATTTTATTTTTTTTTTTTGGCAAAGGTGCCCAGCAGGATATTCCACCTGGAACTCAGCTTGGAGCAGTGGGAAGAGCGTGCCAGACTTTTTACAGCCTCTGGGAAAGCCTGGCTTTATTTTCCCTGTCGCCCTGACACATTAATGGCTGCAGCTGAGGCGTCCTCCTTGCTCCTTCCCACACTTTTTCACGTCTCCTGCCCCAGCACAACGCAGAGTTTTCTCACGAATAAAGGAAAGAATCAAATCTCATTGGAAAGTTCATCAACTTTGGGCTCCTGCTCAGTGAGTGATAGATGGCTTTAATTACACTGAACTAGTTGGCATCTCTACTCCACTCCCCAAAGTCATTAAAAATAGATTTTCTGTTTGAACTCCAGCCCCCCGAGGGGTCTGTGGGCAGCCTGCTGTGGCTGTGAGATGCTCCAGGGGCTGTCTCCAGCCAGGGGAGGTCACAGGACTGGGCTGGTAGCACGCAAAAGCTGTGGAAACTTTGCTTTGGCTGTGTATTTTATTTAATTTATTTATTTCTTTTTATTTATTTGGAACTGGTTTCTTGCAGTTATTTGCTCCGGGGGCTGGCAGAGTTGGAATTTGTGTGTTTTGGACAGTCTGTATTGATTTTTATTTTTTTTAATTTATTTTATTTTGCTGGTGTTATGGGTCAGGCAGTCAGGGACAGTAATAACGAGGTTTTATCATTTAATGCCTGAGCAGCAGGTCCATTTTGGCAGGGAGAGCAGGAAGGGAGGTCACACTTGGGCTGGGGGAGCAGGGCTGTGCCCTCAGGAGCGAGGAGATCCCCCTGCAGCGCTGCACTCTCGGCTGCTGTCCTTCACACAGATGCTCCTCCAGAGACATTGTTCAAAACCTCTGTGTGGTTTTTAAAGAATTATCATGTGCAGAAGCCGCAGCTTCTGAGCAGAAAAAGAAACGAAGCGCTCAACATCAAATCATCTCTAATGAACTCTTATTCACATAATTCCAACCCTCCGTTATTTATAGAGCGCAGCGAGAGCATCCAGCTCCTCACAAACACGAAACAAGGCCTGAGCTGCATTTAAATCACGGGGACAGATCCTGCCAAGCCTCCCTCGCTGGGTACGAGCGGGGGATCTGCAGTGCTGGGGGATTTTGGGGCTGGGGCAGGGCTCAGCGTGCTGGGCTGATTTTAGGGGGAGCCCAGGGCCCTCCCTGGGTGCATCCTGTGCTGGCTGGTGTCTCCCAAAGGGAGCTTTTTGGTTTGGAAAAGCTGGGTTTGCTGCTGGTGGTGTCTCCCACAGGGAGTTTTTGGTTTGGAAAAGCTGGGTTTGCTGCTGGTTCTCCAGCAGCAGCACTGCTCTGCACCGGGAAATGCTGGCTGCTCACTGGGGGAGGGCAGTGTCGTGCAGGAATAAATCCTGGATGGGCTGTTCCTGTCACCAGGCCCCTGGGCTTGCTCCCACCCCATCTCTAAAGTGCTTTTTGCTGCTTAGGAGGGAGAGGCAAAGCAGCAGAAAGCACATCACCTGTGGCCACTCCAGTGCAGACCAGCGAGGGCACCCTGGCCCCTCTGCAGCCAGCAATCACACCCCAGCCCTTCATCTCCACCTCGGAATTTCTCCTCTCTGCATTCCTGAAGCTCTTCCCATCCCAGCTCTGCCTCTCCCACCCCTCACTCCCAGGCTCCCAACCCCAGCCCTCCACCCTCCCCTCGGAGGGCTCCACCAGAAAACCCCAACCCTGGGCGATCCCCGCTCCGGGAAAAAGCTGTTGAGAGCGGGGCCGAGGAAACAAGGAGAATAGCAGCCCTATTGGTGTCGAGCTCGGAGAGGAACTGGGTTCTCACTGTGTCAACAGCACTTGGCGTGACAGCGGCCGTTGTGTGGGGAGACACTGCTCCTTTCAGAGCGGCTGCTGGGAGCCGCGCGCTGTTGTGACGGACGCAGCCAGAGCCATCCAGCAGTTGTTTGAATTCCCAGCCAGTTGCAGGCATCGCTCCTGGGGCCCGGGAGCTGCGGGGAGGCCGGCAGAGGATTATCTGCTGGGAGAAATGGGGGTAGAGTCGCAGAATCGCGGAGTGGCCCGGGCTGGAAGGGAGTTTAAAAAACATCTGGGCACCTCCCGCTGTCCCAGGTTGTGCCAAGGTCTGTCCAGCCTGGATTTGAGCACCTCCAGGAACTGGGAGTCCACACTCAACCTGTTCCAGTGCCTCCCAACCTCTCAGGAAGGAATTCCTTCCATATTTTATAGAGGGAATACCACAGGAGCTCGAGATGCAAACCCACCCTGCTGCTGGAGGTGGCAAGGAATGGGCTGCAAAGGTTAAAGTGGTTAAAAATGCCGGAGGTGGCAAAGGATGTGTTGGAAAGGTTAAAGTGGTTAAAAAGGTTACAAATGTCTTTGCTGGAGCCAAGCAGTGACCTGTGGTTAAAGCCTGGTGTCGTTTTGAAGCCTCTGGGGGTTTCAGTGCTGGTAAATAGGTCAGGGCTGTGCTGCACCTCACCATCACCATCACTGCTCGCGTGCTGGGAGTGGGAGAGGGGCTTCCAGCAGCCTCGGGGCTGTTCCCAGCTGTGCTCCCCTCTGTGGCACCCCTGCCTGGAAGGGACACGGACCCCAGTGGGTCAGTCCTGGGGGCCCCAGTGGCTGCTGCTGGAAGGGCTCAGAGTGGCCCAAGCAGTGAAACACCCAGCCAGACCCAACAAGCTTCCACAATCCCAGGGATTTATCCTCCCCGGGGAAGGGTGAGGCAGCAAAGTGTAAATCGGGGAGGAGAGGGCTCAGCTCCAGCCCAGGGAGGCTGTGAGGAGCTGGCACCACTGTGGGAGCCCAGCTGGGGCTCTGCGTGCCCAGGACCCACCCAGGGGACAGGCTGCCCTCACGTCTCATCCCCAGCAATTCCTATTCTTGGATGTCGGAACAAATTCATTCCAGGCTCTGCTGTTGTGGCCCCTGGCTCTGGGGGGCTCAGCAGGACCTGGGGCTGCTCTGGCCGTGCTGGGCAGAGCAGCCCTGAGTGTTTGTGTTCCCTGCAGGTGTCCCGGGTGCCCGTGGAGTCCTGTGAGCAGTACACGACCTGCCAGGAGTGCCTGAGCTCGGGGGACCCCCACTGCGGCTGGTGCTCCCTGCACCACATGTAAGTCCAGCCTTGGCCGTTCCCTGGTGATAAAAGCAGCTCTCAGAGCTTCCCAGAGCCTCCCACACAAAACAAATCAGGCTGAAGTTGCTCGAGTCCATTTTTCTCTCCTTTGGACATTCCCTGCATTGCAGCTCGGGTGCCATTGGAGATCCCGGGAGAGGTGAAGGGAAATCAACTCCTGATTCAGGGCAGTGGGTGATGTGGATGGAAAAGCAGGTGGAAAAATGATGGAAAAGCAGGATTTGAACTGGTGGGAGTGGAGCCTGCTGGTTTGCACGCCCCTCCTGGTGTTTTGCACCCTCCTGCTCTCTGCCCAGCCTGCAAATCCCAATAATGTGGAATTTTCAACAGCAACAGCAGACGTGATCCTGTGAGCGGGGCTGTGCTCCCAGCCTGGTTTCAGCAGCACAGCAGAGCACAGAGCCCCTTTAAAAGCCCCAAAAGGGAGATTTCAGCCCTGCAGGGGAGCTCAGGGGGTCCCAGCTCCAGCTGCTCCGGGGGGACCCGGCAGCAGGGCTGGGAGCTGCCACAAAGGGCTGAGGGTGCCTTTCTCCAGGGGAGCTCCTGGAAAGCCTCTCTGCATTCAGGAGGTGTCCGTGCCCTTCCTTTCTCTGGCCTGCCATAAAAACCAGCACTTCCTAGGGCGGAAGGGAGCCGTAGGAAGGGGCAGAGGAGCTCGGGGAGGAGGGGAGAGCCGGGAGCAGGGAATAGAAATCCCCCCGGCCCCGTGCCAGCTGCTGAGCAGCCCTGGGAGCACGGGCACGGGGGAGGCAGGGCTCAGGGACCCGCTCGGCAGCGCTTGGCCCCTTGCCTGAGGAGCAGGTGCTGGGGGGAGCGGGGAGCTGCAGGCTCCTCCACAAACCCGGCCTGGATCCGGGGCTGGGGGGCACAGCAGCTCCCGCCGCGGGTCTGGGGCAGGAGGGGCAGGAGAAGCAGCTCAGCCCCTGAGCATCCCGCAGGATCCTCTCGGGGAGGGGCTGCAGAGCTCTGAGCATCCCACGGCACTCTGGGCATCCTTTTTTGGCTTTTTCCCTTTCCAAGCGAGCCTGTCCAGCCCTGCAGCTGAGCCACCCTTTGGTGTCCCAAAGGTGTCGCTGTCCCAGCTCCTCTGTCAGAAGGGGACTATTCCCACCCTCGGGCTCTGCCCCGTGTGCCCCCCGGGCTGGGCAGCAGGGTGGGCAGGGGCTGCAGCAGCAGCAGGAGCTGTGCTGGGGCCCTGGTGCTGCTCCTGCAGCAGCTCCTCTGCAAGGATCAGCGAGCACTCCCCTCATGCTAATGAGCTGAATCTTCACAAGCCACCTGGGAGGCAGGTAAAGGTTGTTATCTTCATTTTGCAGAGACAAAACCCTCGATGACAAGAGGAGAGAAAAGTGTCATTTCCTCTGCCCTTTTGGCCATGACATTTCAGCATCAACCTATCCCAACAAGGGCTCTTTCCCCGATGGGATTTCTCAACTCTCCCTTCAAGCATCTGCACTTTGGAGCAGTGATCATCTTTTAGCTTTATTTTTTTAAGCTGTAAATAATTGAGTTTATCTCACTGTTCCTCAAAGCCTCTGTCATCTTTGGAGGCCCCAAGTGCTGGAGTGTTTGTATTTCATTTGTCACCTCTCCCCTTCCATTCTCACCCACTCCTGCTTCCAGCTGCTCCGTGGAAAGTGCTGGGGCAGGGGGTGATGCTCCCACTGGGTTTGGGGATGGCTGGAAGGCTGAGGGGTGCAGGAGAAGTTGATTTTTCATCCTCTGCATGGACAGGGATCCTTTGCTCTCTGGGAGCCGTCAGAGGCCTCCAGGAGATTGTTACAGGATCTCTCCAGCCCAGTGGGATGTGGAGCCTGCAAGACTTCCCCGTGCTGCTCTCTGCAAGAGTGTTATTGTCTCCAGGCCTATTTATCTCTGTTGGGGCTGTTGCCATAAATAGGATGATAAAAAAGAGCCATTCCAGCGAGTCAATGAGATAAAGGCTCCAGTCAAGAGCTCACTTTAGGGCTATCTTAGAGATTCACTTCAGCCTCGATATTTCTTCCTTTGGCACCATTCATATTTAGCTCCTTTATGCTCCAAAGGAAAAGGTACAAAAGGGAGAGGGTGAGGAGAGCAGCCCCAGCGTTTGTTGGGGATCAGGGGGGTGGTTTGGGAAGGGAAAGTGGAAACTTCACTTGCCTTCATCTAAAGCAACCTCCCACTGTTCCACAGAATCCCTCAATCCCTCAAAGGCACCTTAAAGGCGAATTTGCACCCATGGAGGGGGGTTGGAAGGAGAGGATTTTCCCCTTGGAAATGACAAAATCCAGGAAATCCTGGAGGCAGTCTGGTGTAGAACACTGACAGTCCTCCCCTGGTGCCCAGTGGTGCCTGCTGGGAACAGCTGGATTCCTCTCTGCTCCGAGGACACCTGCAGCAAAAGCAGGGATGAGGAGCCCTGCTGGAGCACGTGGAATGCTGGAGCACTCCAGGCACCTTGGCATGCTCAGAGCCCTGGTTCCTGCTGCTGGGAATGGCAGTGGGCAGGAGCTGGGGGCTCCAGGCAGGAGCAGCAGCCAAGCACTGCTGGCAGCAGCTGGAATCTCCCATTCCTCACCCCCAGCTCCAGCAGGAGGTGATTAGTGGGCTGTGTGGATTTAATTAGGACAGAGGCATCGCCCTGTCCCTGCCTGTCACAGCTTTCTGGCTTAGCTCATGTGCAGATGAGTCCATGGCTCACCCCACACCCCCAGCACTTGGGATTGGCAGCTCTGGATCGTGTCCCACGGCAGGAATTACTCATGGGATACCAGCCTTGGTGGTTTTGCTGCTCACTAAATATTTTCCAGCGCCCTTTGGTCCTAACCTGGTGCCCAACACCTGCTCCCTGTGCAGGGCATCCCCAGGTCCTGCTGTGGAACATCTCCCCGGGGGTTTGGGGTGTGTTCTGTGCCCTGAGGGTGTTTTCAGTGCACTGAGGGGTGTTTTCAGTACTCTGGAGATGTTTTCTGCATTCTGGGGGGTGTTTTGGGTGCCCTGGGGGTGTTTTCAGTACTCTGAGGTGTGTTTTTTGCTCTGAGGAATGGTTTTGCTGCTCCTGGGGGATGTTTTCCTCATACTGGGGGGTGTTTTCAGTGCTCTGGGGGATGTTTTCCTCACTCTGGGGGGTGTTTTGGGTGCTCTGAGGGATGTTTTCAGTGTTCTGAGGGATGTTTTCAGTGCTCTGGGGGTGTTCTGGGTGCTCTGGGGGGATGTTCTCCTCACTCTGGGGGTGTTCTGGGTGCTCTGGAGGGATGTTTTCCTCCCTCTGGGGGATGTTTTCAGTGCTCTGGGGGTGTTTCAGGTGCTCTGGCAGTGTTTTCATACTCTGGGGCTGTGTTTTTTGCTCTGGGGGATTTTTTTGCTGCTCTGGGGGGATGTTTTCCTCACTCTGGGGGGTGTTTTCAGTGCACTGAAGGATGTTTTCAGTGCTCTGGGGGTGTTTTGGGTGCTCTGGGGGGATGTTTTCCTCCCTCTGGGGGATGTTTTTGCTGCTCTGGGGGTGTTTTCATTGCTATGGGTAATGTTTTCAGTGCTCTGGGGGATGTTTTCAGTGCTCTGGGGGTGTTTTCAGTGCACTGATGGGTGTTTTGTGCTCTGGGGGATGTTTTCCTCCCTCTGGGGGTGGTTTCAGTGCCCTGGGGGATGTTTTCAGTGCTCTGGGGGTGTTTTCAGTGCACTGATGGGTGTTTTGTGCCCTGGGGGGATGTTTTCCTCCCTCTGGGGTGGTTTCGGTGCCCTGAGCGCTCCTGTGTGCAGGTGCTCCCCGAGGGATCGCTGTGAGCGGGCAGAGGAGCCGTTCCGCTTCGCGGGGAGCATCGGGCAGTGCCTGAGCGTGGCCGTGCAGCCCAGCAGCATCTCCGTGTCCGAGCACAGCCTCCCGGTGAGCAGGGACAGGGGACAGGCCCGGCAGCACTGCCACCTCCGGCGGGGAGCCCTCCTCGCTCCAGCCTTTCCCCCTTCCCCCTGGCACACATGTTTTCTCATGAAGTCACGCAGAGGGAGAGGGAAGGGGTCACCCGAGCCGGGGAGAGGGCGGAGGGGGGTGGCAGAGACAAATCCCCCTTCCCCTGGTGCCTCAGCTCACATTTCCCTGGTCTCTGGAGCTGGTAAAGGAAAGGCTTTGTTTCCCAAAAAGCTCCTCTGTGAGCTGTGCTCAGGCCTGGCTCTCCCCAGCTGTTGCTGCCGGAGCCCCCCATGTCCTGTGACAGCTGCTCCTGCTGCCCCCCCTTCCTGGGCTGCCCCAGCCCCCCTGGAAAAATGGTGAGGGGACAGGGACGGAGCCCTCCAGGCGCTGGTTTGCCATGGGGACACCCCCCAGCCGTGCTGGGGACATTGGGGGCTCTCTCCCCTCAGGGCAGGGCAGGGTGGTCTCCCCTGTTGGTGCAGTGGGGACAGAGGTGGTCTGAGCTCAGGGCTCTGGGGACAGTCACTGCTGCTCTCAGGGTGCTGGCACTGGCACTGAGGGTGGCAAAGCTTCTGTAAGCAGCCAGGGGACAAAAATCTGCCATTGCCACCGCTCCTGACCTGCAGCACCCTGTGGGATCATATCCACAAAGAACACCCTTGCCTTCCTTCCCCACGCCAGGGCAGCTGGCCACCAGCTGCGGGCGGGTGGGTGATTCAGGGGGGTTGTTTTGGAGGGGAAAACAGGCAGGGCTGGGAATCTGAGGGAGGTTTGGGCTGCCCTGCCCGCTGACAGCTCTGCTTTGCTCCCTGGTGCAGCTCAGCCTGCGGGTGAGCGACGCCCCCGACCTGAGTGCCGGGGTCAGCTGCCTCTTTGGGAACCTCAGCGAGGTGCAGGGCCAGGTGTCGGGCAGCCAGGTGGTGTGTGTGTCACCGGCAGCCAAGGACGTCCCTGCCATCCCCGTGGATCAGGGTAAGTGATGCTCCTGGGCAGTGACACGGTGGCAGGCAGAGCAGGGCAGCTTTGGCAGTGTCAGCTGAGCCTCTGGGGGCTGCTGCCAGAGAAATTCATGCTGCTGTCAAAGCCTGTTGAACCCAGGGAGCTCCATGCCCAGGAAATGCATCCCACACAGGGCAGGACGGGCTGGCAGCCGGCAGCAGGGAGTGCTTGCCCCGTCCTCACCCCCTCCCCGTGCTGCCAGACAGCTCCCAGGGCGGGGCAGGAGCCGTCTGTCCCCTCCAGGAGCTCTCAGCCCCGCCAGGATGAGCAGGAATCTCCCCTGGGCCTGGCTCAGCACCCACGAGTCGGTGGCTGCAGTTGTTCTGCTTCGTGCTGATCTTTGGGCTGGCTCCTCATTAATGTCACCACTGTCACATTTGCTCTTCCTGTAACTGGAGCACCACTGGCTCGGAGCTCGTTTTGCCCTTGGCATCCTTCCAGGTGTCCACGGTGCCTCCCTGGTGATGTCTTTGTGGTTCTGAGGCATTTTCTGGAGCCTGAGCCTTGGAGAACACTGCAGGGCCAGGATAGGCTTCCCCAGCAGCCCCAAAAGAAAATCTGCTGGAAATGAACCCAGAGCTCAGGCTCCTGCAGAGCTCCACTTGCTTCCAGCAGTGGCTCCTGCTCTGGGATAACTCTGGGAGGTGATGCCCAGAGAAGCTGTGGAGCCCAGTCCCTGGAAGTGTTCAGGGATGGGCTGGATGGGCTTTGGGGGAGCCTGGGATGGTGGAAGGTGTCCCAGCCCATGGCAGGGGGTGGCACTGGGTGTTTGAGGATCCCTTCCAGCCCAAACCCCTCTGTGATTCCACCATTCTGCTCCTGGGCTGTCTCAGAACAATCTCACTTTTTACACTCACAGTGAATCAGGGGACAGGGCGAGCTTCCAAACCCATTCCAAGGCACCTTTACCCCTCGGCTCTGATGGGCTTTGCCACCAGGGCTGGCCTTTGGAGCCACTGCTGGACACACCCAGGGGGCTCCAGGGCAGGGTCTGGGGGGTCCTGGTGGACAGGGGCACCCAGGGGGCTCCAGGGCAGAGTGTAGGGGGGTCCTGGTGGTCACAGGCACCTGGGGGGCTCCAGGGCAGGGTCTGGGGGGTCCTGGTGGACAGGGGCACCCAGGGGGCTCCAGGGCAGAGTGTAGGGGGGTCCTGGTGGTCACAGGCACCTGGGGGGCTCCAGGGCAGGGTCTGGGGGGTCCTGGTGGACAGGGGCACCCAGGGGGCTCCAGGGCAGAGTGTAGGGGGGTCCTGGTGGTCACAGGCACCTGGGGGGCTCCAGGGCAGGGTGTGGGGGGTTCTGGTGGACATGGGCACCCCGCAGGGTGTGGGGGTGTCCTGGTGCTGCGAGGTGAACCCGGGCTGCCCCAGCAGCAGCAGGGGGCTCAGCGGTGGGCAGTGGGCAGCAGACCCCCCCGGCAGTAGTGACAGGCTCTGCTCTGTCCCCAGACTGGTTCGGTGTCGTGCTCCAGCTGAAGTCCCGGGAGACGGGCAGGACCTTCGTCAGCACCGAGTTCAAGTTCTACAACTGCAGCGCCCACCAGCTGTGAGTGCCCCCTCCCCACCCCGAGCAGAGCCAAAAACCAGCCCAGGGGGTTTGGGGAGGGGGCGCTGGGGGCTGGCACGGTGCCCGGGTGACGGCACGCACAGGGACAGCCAGCTGCCCGGGGCTGGGGGCTCGGGGGGCTCGGGGGGCTCCGGGAGCCGCGGAGGAGGCAGCTGCAGAGAGCCGGGAACAACCTCAACCTGCTGGTGCCCCCAAGCTGTGCGATCCTGCAACTGAGAGCTGGGATGGGAATGGGAATGGGAATGGGGAATGGGGAATGGGGAATGGGGAATGGGCAGAACAAAGGGGCTGGGGAGGTGGGATGTGGGATGGAGGAGGTGGGATTTGGGCAGGGGGAGGTGGGATACAAGCTGCAGGAGTTGGGGTACAGGAGGAGAAGGTGGGCTGCAGCCCAGGCATGTGGGAGGCCAGGGGAGGCTCAGTTTTGCTGAGGATGGTGGAATCACACCCCCCGGGCACTGGGAGGCAGCAGGCAGCTGGCTGGCCTTGGAAACGCATTCACAGTCCTGAAGCATTTATGGATTTCTCTCAGGAAACAAAAGCAAGCTGCAGCACTGTGGGCAGGACCTGCCAGCAGCGGGATGGGGGTGGCAGGGCTGGGACATCTCCTGGGGCAGGGGCACCTGCTGGAGCCACCGAGGGCCAGCACAAGGTCACTGCCAGCCTTGCTGTGCTGGGTTTGAAGCTCCAGGGCCTTTCCTGCGGCACTAGGAAGTGGGTTGGTGTGTTTGTGTGCTCATGAGCTTGGCTGGCCTTGCTCCAGCCCGTCCGGGCTCTTCCCTCTGCAGGCAGCCCCAGGAGCCAGGGCCATGGCCTGGGACTGCATCCACGGGCACAGCTGATCCTTGTGCCACCAAGAGCTGCCACGTGGCAGCAGGGGTGGCCTCGGAGATGGAGGAGGTGGCAACTGCCAGGATTAGCAGCTGTCACAGCTCCTGCGTCCCTGTGGCAGCAGCGAGAGGGGAACAAAACCCACCCAGCCACTCTGCTGGCAGCTGGGTCCCCTGGGGCTCAAAAGGGTCTGTGTTCTTTCAAAAACATTTCATAAACGGTTATTTTTTTTCTCCCCCAACATGAATCAAAAGCACTTGCTGCACCCTCTGCTCTCCAAGGCCAGGCAGAAGTGTTGCTGTTGACTTGGAGCATTCCTGACTGGCAGAACAGCTGATCCCATTTTTGCCAGGCTTGCCTTCTTTTCTAGAAGCTAAAGCCCAAGCCTGGTGCCTGTGCAACGCCCTGCTCTACTTTACACCAACCCAGGGATGTGCAATAAATCCCAGCCCGTGTTTTCCTCTGGAATAAATTGTGAGGCTGCCCTAAGTCTGCCTTTTGAGCGTGGGTTTTCCCAAACCCCTTCCTTGTTTTTTGCTCTATCGAAACCACCCCCCCACCAAAGAAATTCTTTTCCCAGGACGGCTGGGTTTCTGGCAAGGCCTGCAGACGGCTGCAGCCCTTCTAACCCCTGGTTTCCCCCCAGGTGCCTGTCCTGTGTGAACAGTGCCTTCCGCTGCCACTGGTGCAAGTACCGCAACCTGTGCACCCACGACCCCACCACCTGCTCCTTCCAGGAGGGGAGGATCAATGTCTCCGAGGTACCAGCTGCCATTCCTCCCTCTGCCCTTTGCTCCTCCGTGCCACCAGCAGCACAACCCGTGTTGGTGTGAGGTTTGTGGGTCTCTGCTGTCCAAAAGTGCAGCTTTAAAGCCGGGCAGTGTTGGTGGCACTGCAGTGCTGCTCTCGACCTGAGCACGGAGCTGAGCCCTCCCCTGCTGCGTGGGAATGCCCAGGTTCATTAATTACAGTAATTGCTGCAGTGTTTTCCCCCGGGGGTCCCAGAGACTCCTCAGCCCCAGCACTTGCAGCAGCTCTGCTTTGCTGGGTCTGAGCAGCAGCTCTGGCTGGGCTGGGATTTCTGGCACAGCCTGGCTGTGGCTGATGAAGGAGGGAAGTACCAAAGAGCACAGCCCCAGATTTTGGAACAGGGAGCTGCTTTGGGTTCCAGACTCGGAGCCATCTCTCTTAGCAGCTCATAAAAGGTGTGGGGCTCCAATCCAAAAATGCTTTTAACACTTGGAAAGGCACGGCCAGAGAATGGCTCTGCCAGCTCTCCTGTGTGTCCCAGGGCAGAGGGATCTATGGAGGAAAGGGGTTGTTAGCACAAATTGAACATGCTAGGAACCCTTGGGCTGGGGTTTCTGCACTCCTTGTCCTGCCTGATCCCCTGCCTGCTTCTCTGGGAGGGTCTTTGCCCTCACTGTTCCTACAAACAGCTTTGTAGCACCTGAAATGAGTGCAGGTCCTAAAGCTGCAAGGGGAAAATGGTTTAAAAGATGCTCTGGAAATCCTGAGAGTCCTGGAAAGTGGGGAAGGCAGCAGTGAGGACAGGTACAAATATGAGGAAAAGGAAGGAGAGGAAGGTGTGCCAGTATCCAGAGAAATCCTTGTCAGTGAGTGGTGGGGATGGAGAAGAACAGGAGAGGTCAGTCAGTGGTGCAAACACTGAGCTGTCAAAAAGGAGTGACTGGAGGTTTAGCCAGGTTGCTGCTAAACCAGGAGCAAACTCCACTTTGTGTCTCCCTGGCTGCAATGCTGCCAGGAGGTCGAGAGGAAAAGGGCAGAGTGATTTCTGAGCTGTGTGTGTAAGGACCTGGTGGGATCTGCAAACCCAAGGATGGGCAGCGTGCCTGGGATGGGAACGGATGCCCAGGGAGAAGCTTCCACCCCAGGAGCAAACCAAAAGCTTTCTCCATCCAGTTCAAAGTCAAGAAACTTCCTTTCACCATGTCAAGAGAAAGCAAAACCCTTTGCCTCTCCTCCTCTTGAGTGATTGGGGGGGTTCTCCTCCACACTCCGAGCATCCCTGTCCTCCCAGAGCTCTGTCTTCTCTGGGTCCCCAGCCCCAGAGTGTCTGACAAAGGAGAACCATCCCATGATCTCTGTTTTCCTCCTGGGATCACACAGATGAGAGAGTGGAGCAGTTGGTATCCCTGGAAGTTCCTGCTGGGATCACAGGGCTGCCGTGTCTCCAAAGAACTTCCTCAGTCTTCATCTTGCAGAGGTTGTTTCTTACCAGGGGGTGTTTTGGGACGCCTCACACCTTCCTGTGATTAGCTTTGATATGGGCTGATGATAATGACACGAGTCATTTCTTCCCCAGACCTGTGAGCACAGGCAAAACCACCCCAAAGAAATGTGTGTGCTTGTTTAAGAGCAATGAGTTTCCTCTTCACACGCAGCATGCTGATAATGCCCTCGCTCTGGGCTCTTCACTAACACAGAAATGAGTAAATGCCTCATGGAGAGTTTCCTCTCCTAAACCAATTCAGATCACAATGTTCTCATTGTGTCATGGCCTGATGTATTAGGAAATTGTTTGTGCTTACCCTGGCTCCCTCCCCAGCGGAGCCAGTGGTGTTTGGAGCGGGGGATCTCCGTGCCTGTGCCCTACTTTCAGTCCCCTGTGCCTCTCCTTACGTAAGGTTTACACACGTGCTCACACGGGCCCGCAGATTTGCTCGCATCTTTATATTTAATTCAAGGGAAAATATCTTGAATATTCCCTTTCACTCCTGGCCCATCAGAGCTGGCGTCCCCGTGGGATTGGATGTGGAACGAGCTCCCTTTGATGCTCCCAGGAGTTGTCTGTCTGGAGGAGGAACTGAAAAGCCTCAGCCACTTCAGGAGGAGATGGGGGACAGAAATTCCCTCTCCGTGAGCTGTGCTCTTGCTCCTTGCCAGGCTCTGCCCCCGTGCCCGAGCTCAGTGCTGCCCTGCCTGCCATGGAAGCTCAGCCCAGGAGCTCTTCCCATCCCTCCTCCTGCCCTCCAGCAGGAACTGTTGGCTCAGACCCAAGGGCAGAGCCCAGGGACAGATGTGGGGGTGCAGAGGGAGCCCCAGAGGTGGGCGGGTGCTTTAGGAAAAGTGGAAATGTGGTTTGGGGTCACTGGTCAGTGAATACAGGTATTTCACAGCCTGTACAGCAGAGGGATCCTGCAGGACAGAGCTGGCTGCTCCTGATGTTCTCCCTCTCGTGGCAATTTCTGAAATGGGGGAGCCCAGCTCCTCTGAGGTCTCCCTTTCCAGGTAGCCAGTTCTTTAGGAGTTAATTATGAGAGAAGCAATTATTTTCCCATCCTTTTCCTGGTCAGAATCTTCACTGTCAGCAGAAGGTGCCTAGTCAGACCTTGCCCCCACTAAATCAGGATTTCTCCAAAAGATTTCTCCTGGGTGTGGAGCACTGATTGTCCCACTTTACAAAACCCCAGATCGAGCCAGTGATGCCATTTTGATGTGCCTGATGTGGTTTGGTTTGTGTGTGTGTGTGAGGTTTTCTGATGTCTCTCTCTAAATGTCTGAAGCTTCCAGATGAGGAGGAACGTGGATTCATAAACATCCTCCCACCCCATCCCGGAGGAGAGCTAGAACCAAATAAATCCTCTTAGCTCCCCAGAATGTGAGAGCCCGGCCCTCTTTGATGTCCAGCGAGTGCTGATAATGCCATTTCCACAGGGGGACGCTGATCTGGGGACAGAGAGGTTCAGATTCGGGGATTTCAGTGCCCTTGGGGCTCCTGTGGATAATTCCCACTGATTTTGTGGCAACGCCCTTGCCCCTGGCTGTGCCCTTGGGTGCTGAGCGCTGCTTGATGTGCCTTGAAGGAAACAAAACCAAAGCAGCCCGTCCTGCCAATCCCCATCCCAGCAGAGCTGAGACGTGCTGGAGGTGACTCAGAGCCACATCTCAGGCCACCAAAGCCAGCCAATGACTTTGCAGGGTCACACCTGACTTTGGGGAGATGCCTTTGCCTGAAATAGGAACAAAAAGGCCGGTTTCAGCAGAATTCCCTCAGCCCTGAGCCGTGGCTGGGCTTTTATCGCCCGTGCTGTGGAGGTTTGGTGCTCAGAGGGAAGGAGCCAGGAGGGAGAGGAGGGAGATGTTCCTCCTGTCCCTGCGCAGGGAGCTGCTCCTGCCTCACCTCTGGCACACAAGGGGTTGTTTACAGGAGGGAAAGGTGCTGTAAATATCCCCCTGCCTCCCAAAGTGATGGAGAAGACCCAGGTTACAGCACGTGCCCGCAGCTCAGGGTAAGGGTGTGGGGAAGGAATTCACCAGGCTGGGCTCCAGCAGCCTTTCTTTCACGTCTGGTTTCCAAGGAGCAGGGGCTGCTCTCCTTTCCCGTGGCATAAATGAAGGATAATGTGTTTCCATGAGTGACAGGGACTGTAATTTATATCATTGGGAACACAACTGTGAACCAGGGGTTTGCATTCACGTGCCAGATTGGGTTATGTTTATAACTTTCAAATAACGTGCAGCAAGTTAACATTTGTAGAGACTTTGCGGGGGTTTTTTGAAGATGGAAAGTACAGAAACAGTCTATTTTCTGCCATTTGGGCTAAATCCCGTAGTCAGAAGAATTGCCTGCCATTTCTAGGCAATTTTTTTTCCAAATAAGAGCAAGGAGGTTTGACCTACTAAAACTGCTCGGTTAAACACAAATAATAACCATGGGTGCTCTGTTCTGCTCCAGAGACAGCTGCAGAACGCGGGTCTTTAAGGTATTTATAGACCTTGGAGTCTTTGAGGCTAAAAAGTGTTGGAGAAGCATAAAATGTCTTTGTAAATTGTGTGTGCTGATACTTCACAGGCAGAATATTCCCCGAGAGTCTGTGCCACTCAGGCATCGGAGCCTTGTCTTCCTCCAGCAGATCTGATCCGTGTTTATTCTGGCGCGGGGAAGTCAAGGAGGATAATGAGAGGATTCTGCCTGTTTGTTTAGAGAGAGGAGGCAATAATGGCCTTTCTAACTCGCTGCAGGATTTACCTCTCATGAATTAAAAAACAAAGTAAACTGATTATGGAGCAAGCTGTGCGTTCCACCGCCTTCACTCGGTGTTTTCTGGGTGTTTCTCGGTGTTTTCTGGGTGTTTCTCGATGTTTTCTGGGTGTTTCTTGATGTTTTCTGGGTGTTTCTCGATGTTTTCTGGGTGTTTCTCGCTCTTCCTGGGGAGGAAACCAGGAGCCAACCCCTTCCCAGGGCACTGGGAAATTCCTGTCAAGGGAATCCACATGGACAGAGGCACTGCTCAACTGGTGATTAACCCCTGACAAAAAAATAATTTACCTGAACAAAATCATTTACCTGAACAAAATAATTTACCTGAACAGTGGCTGTTCCAGCAGGGAGCAGCTGGGAGAGGTGGAGGGACAAACCACCCTGCCAGGCTGTTCTCCTGCAGCAGCAGCCAGCTGAGAGCCAAAAACCCCACACGGGGTCTGTGGGAAGGGCTGTGTGTGCGGGGATTTGGGGTGCAGGGACATGAGTTTTCAGGGATTTGGGGTGCAGGGATGTGGCTGTGCAGGGATTCAGGTGCAGGACATGGATTTTCAGGGATTTGGGGTGCAGGGACATGGCTGTGAAGGATTTGGGGTGCAGGGATGTGGCTGTGCAGGATTTGGGGAGCAGGGATGTGGCTGTGCAGGGCCGTGGGTGCACATCACTGAGGCTACAATTTAAAAAAAACAAATTGGGAAAAGAAAATCCCTGAAAGCTGAGCTTTCCCTGAGGCTGGAAATGTCTCACAGGGGCTCCAGGGACGTGCAGGGTCCGAGCTGACCCGAGCACCCCCCAGCTCCTGCAGCTCCTCCCGCTCAGCTGAGAAATTCACAGCACTGCCTGCAGCAGTGTGGCTGCCCACGAGCACCCTGGCTTTGCTGGAGTCTGGCATCTTCCTACAGATCTCCCCATCCCAAACGTGGATCCCTTATTAGTGTGATCACTGCAGCTGTCAGCACAGCTTCATTCCTGTGCCTGCCTCGCTTTCCCCACAACCCCAATGTGACATTTTCCTTCCACTGGAACCAAAGGAATGGAAAAAAAAATCTCTTTTGCCCCACTAATGATGGCAGAACGGTTTTCCTGCCAGCATTTTCAGCACCAGGGAGCAGATGTGGGGATGGAGTCCCCCCCATGCCTGGGAGGGCAGGAGCCTTTCCTCAGCAGTCGCCTCACGGATGGAGCTGGCCAGGAAGGATAATGGTCCATAACATATTCATTATTTTCAGGACTGTGCACTGAAGTTCTCCCACTGGTGATGCAAGTGGAGATTTTTTTTGTTTTCAGTTTTAATGGGGTAAAGGATTCTGCAGCTCTGGGTTGCTTTTCCTTCCTCACAGCCCTCGGGTGTTCCACAGCCCCTCTCTGCTGGAGCTCGGTGGGACTGTGAGGTGAAATCAGAACCTTACAGGCAGGTGTTGAGTGGAAGGTGGCACAGGTGAGTGGTGCTTAGGAGAGGAAGGAATGTGCAGAGCCAGCTTGGAAGAGCTGGATGGAAAATGCTGTGAATCCAGGGAGTTTGCTGGTGGTGAGCTGGGGCTGGATCCGCGGTGCCAGGGTCAGTGGGAAGCAGGGAATGCCATTCCCTTCCAGCCTGTGAACCCACTCCTCTGCAGGAAAGAGCCTCCCTTCCCTCCCCAGCGCAGCTGATGGAGTTTGAAATCACTCCTGGCTGTTAATCCGTGAAAGTCCCTGTTAGAAAGAAAATAAAATATATATACGGAAAAGTGCCACTAAAAAGGTTTACGAGGCTGCAGTTTAAGTTAGTGGTTCCTCCAGACCTGAGCATCTGTTTCTCATTTACAGCTCGCTGGAGCCAGTGGTGAAACACTTCCCATGGCCCCGGCTGGGAGCTGCAGGGGAGCCTGCCTTGGGGAGGGGGATTTTCCCCCTGGACACGCAGGATTCTGGGCAGGATGGCTGCCTGGCATTGCCAGCAGCAAGATTTCCTTTCATCCCCAGGCTGGGGGGCAAAGGGCTTGGGATGCCAGTCTGGGATTTGGCAGAGGGAGACTGACGTGTTTGTTCTAAACTCCTGCTTTAGCTGGGGATTAATCATTCAGTGTCAGGTGCTTACAGGTACTTAGGTACCTTGTTCCATGAGATCAAAGCAAATTAGAGCTGAGCAGAATGTAAATGCAGCTGATGGTCAGAGGTATTGCAGCTCCTGGTGTAGAAATTGGAGAAAAATTGTATTTCCCAGTGTGCTATGCAGAGATAATGTTTGGGATGTTGAGATCTCACAGGAGGGATGTGAGAGGAGCTGAAAAGTCATTTTTTGTGGTCCATCTCAGGGTCTCATTTAGACATTCCCTTTGTGCTTGGGCGAACTTGACTTGGACTCAATGATCTTAGAGGTCTCTTCCAACCTCATCATCCTGTGGTTCTGTGAACTGGAGATCTGTGCCATGGTGTTTCACAGAGTCCCAGATGGTTTGGATGGGAAGGTGTCACAGTTTTCTTCACATCTCTGGGGACCTGAGACGCTGACTGTCCTTCGTTCCCAGACCTGCAGAGGAATTGTTGTGTCTGACCAAACGGGAGAGGCAGCAGCTCACGCTGTGTGGAGTTTGGAGTTACACACTCCAAATTTGCAGGATTTGCAGCATTGCAGGATTACAATGATACGAAAAACATAAAAGCTCAAACCCAAATGCATCACACCCCAGCCGTGACCTCCCGCCTTCTCCCCGTGCCTCCCAGGACTGCCCCCAGCTGTTCCCCACGGAGGAGATCCTGATCCCGGTGGGAGAGGTGAAGCCCATCACGCTGAAGGCCAGGAACCTGCCGCAGCCCCAGTCGGGCCAGAGGGGCTACGAGTGCGTGCTCAGCATCCAGGGCATCGTGCACAGGGTGCCCGCCCTGCGCTTCAACAGCTCCAGCGTGCAGTGCCAGAACAGCTCGGTGAGAGCATCCCTCTGATCCTGGGTTCCAGGGGGGAGAATGCCCGCGGGGAGGGGGGAAAATCCCTCTGATCCTGGGTTCCAGGGGGGAGAATGCCCGCGGGGAGGAGATGCTGGCTCTGGAGTGCCCTGGCTGCCGGTGGGGGGTCAGCAAGGGGAGGAGGAGGAGGAGGAGGAGGGAATGCAGGAGGTGTTCAGGCAGGCTAATTCACACACGGGGAGATAAGGAGAATCACAGACCCCTTATCGGGGAGCTGTCAAATCCCAGGTCACGGTGGCTGGATGAAGAGAGCGGTGCTGGAGAGCAGGGAAGGAGGGGGAGAGGGAAAGTGCCAGGGGAGAGAGCAGAGCGGGGCTGGAGAGGGGAATCACCAGGTGATGCTGACAGGAGCAGGGCAGGGTAATCCCCTCACAGGACAGGGCTCAGCCTCGCCGTGGGCACCCCAAAATCACCCTGCTGGGATGCCAAAACACCAATGGCACGTGCAGGCACCCCCACCCTGGCCCACAGCCCGAATTTGGGTCTGCTGTGTCCCTGCACAGCCGGGGGACGAGCAGGGACAAGCGTGGCCCTTCCTCTGCTCACCATGTGCTGGGAAAGGGCCCTGGGCAAAAAGGGCACAGTCAGTTTGTTTTAGGCAGCAGAGCAGGGTCCACTTGAATATTCAGTGCAGATGGCCTTAAATTGTTAATGAAGTTTTGAATTTTTAAAAGTTTCACTATTTATACATTGCTGGCTGTCTTTGGGCCTTGCAGCTTGCTGGATAATAAATGTATTAATAGTATATAGTACTTTTCCTATCCAGAGTGATTTATAAGCATTAGAGAAGCACTTTTATTGCTGTTGGGCTGATAGGAAGTGGTAGGGGGAGGACGTGAGGGCCGTTCTGCACTCACAGCTTCTTGTTCCACACCAGCTTAATTAAAACCAGGCAGGGTGAACCAGTACAGTCAAACATGAGTTAAAACTGCACAGCTCCTGCCCAGGGACAGGCAGAGCGCTCTGCCCTGCTTTTGCCATCCTCCCAGTGAGGATGGCAATGCTCACTCACCTTCTGAAGTCTTTCTAGCAGCTCTTGGTTGACCTAAAGAGAGCGCCAGAGTGAGGCCTGGCCAGTGCTGGGTGTGATAATGGGAATTCCAGCATTCCCTGGGAATTCAGCTGCAGCATCCAGCCTCACTCAGCCACGACCCCCAGGATGTCATAAAAAGGGGAATAATTCAGGCCAGTGCTATCCTGGAGCAGGCTCAGGCAGTGGCTGGGGCTCTGCACCCTCTGTTTTTGCTCAGCTGTTTCCTGTTCCACCTGCAGAGCTCTGCAGTGGGGTTTTGGGGCTCCCAGTCCCACTGGGGTGCACAGACTGGGCGAGAAGCAGCCTGAAGGCAGCAGTCCCACTCTGGTTAACTGGAGGGGCTGTGCTGGTGAGCCAGAGACTGAGTGATGAGAGCAACCACTGCAAGTGGAATAATTAATCTGTTACCTCTCACAAGGACTAGATCTGATTTAATTATCTCCTCCTCATGAGGAGAAGGGACTCAAAGCAGAACCCTGGAGATGGAAGTGTAAAAATGTGGTGTCTGAGGCACCAGCAGATGTTTTTAAGCAGAGAACAAAGATAGTTTCTCTCAAAAAACCCTCTTTTTCTGGGAGTGTTGTGTCCCCAAGCATTCACTCTGGATCTTACCCTGCAGTACCTCTATGATGGGATGGACATCAGCAACCTGGCAGTGGACTTTGCCGTGGTTTGGAATGGGAACTTCGTCATTGACAACCCGGAGAACCTGAAAGGTAAAACCTGCTTGAATTGGCTTCAGGCCATCCCAGTTGTGTCCCTCGGAAGTCCCTCAATCCCAGCTATACCCCAGGGGTGTATCCCAGCTGTATCCTGAGGGAATACCCCAATCCCAGCAGAATCCGGAGGGAATACCCCAATCCCAGCTCTACCCTGAGGGAATCCCTTCAATCCCAGCTGTATCCCAAGGGAATTCCCCTCAATTCCAGCTGCACCCCAAGGGAATCGCCCAGTCCTGGCTGCACCCCCAGTCCCAGCTGCACCCCGGGTGAATCCCCCAATCCCAGCTGTATCCCAAGGGAATTCCCCCCAATCCCAGCTGCACCCCAAGGGAATCCCCAGTCCCAGCTGCACCCCCAGTCCCAGCTCCACCCCAAGGGAATCCCCCAATCCCAGCTGCACCCTGGGTTAATTCCCCAGTCCCAGCTGCACCCCCAATCCCAGCTGTATCCCAAGGGAATCCCCCAATCCCAGCTACATCCTGGGTGAATCCCCCAGTCCCAGCTGCACCCCCAGCCCTGGCTGCACCCTAAGGCAATCCCCCAGTCCCAGCTGCACCCCGAGGGAATCCCCCAGTCCCAGCTGCACCCTGGGTGAATCTCCCAGTCCCAGCTGCACCCCCAGTCCCAGCTGCACCCCAGGTGAATCCCCCAGTCCCAGCTGCACCCTGAGTTAATCCCCCAGTCCCAGCTACACCCCCAGTCCCAGCTGCATCCCCAGCCCCGGCTGCACCCCGAGGAGCCCCTCCCGGCTGATCCCCGTGCCCATCCCGCAGTGCACCTGTACAAGTGCGCGGCGCAGCGCGAGAGCTGCGGGCTGTGCCTCAAGGCCGACCCCAAGTTCGAGTGCGGCTGGTGCAGCGGCGAGGCCAAGTGCACCCTGCGGCCCCACTGCGGCTCCCCCGGCGCCCCGCCCTGGCTCGACTGGTCCAGCCACAACGTCAAGTGCTCCAACCCGCGCATCACCGAGGTGAGCCCAGCCCGCCCCTGAAAAGGGAATAATTGGCATTGACTCTGTGATGGCAGGAGGCTGATCAGGTGCTTTATTCTATCATACAAACTGTATTACACCACTGCACTACACTGTGTTATACTCCTGTACTACACACTGTATTATACTACACACAATCAGAATAATGAGGTTGGAAGAGACCTCAAAGATCATCGAGTCCAACCCATGCCCTAACACCTCAACTAGAACACAGCACCAAGTGCCATGGCCAGCCTTTTTTTAAACACATCCAGAGATGGTGATTCCACCACCTCCCTGAGAAGAGCATTCCAGTGCTTTATTATTTTTTCAGTGAAAAATTTCTTCCTAATATCCAAGCTGTACCTTCCCTGACGTAGCTTGAGACTACTATACTATACACTATTGTACTACTGCACTGTACTGCACCACCACCAAGAAAAACCCATCGCCCCTGCCAGCCACGTTAGAATCCAATTGGTCAATGAATCAAAACACCACCACCAGAGCCCAGTTAGGAAATCCCTTTTTGTAAACAATCTCCATAACACATTCCACATGTGCACAACAACAGGCGCGGCAAATGAAGGTAAGAATTGTTTTAATTCTCTCTCTGAGCTTTCTCACTGCCTTCCCCAGGAAAAACCTGGGAAAGTCTGTGTCTCTCTCTGTTCAGAGGTTACGTGATTAGCACATTCTCCCTGTGCTGTCCCAAAATCTGCCCAGCCCCAAGAAATGCAGGTAAAACACTCCAGAACTTTCTGGGACAGTTTTAACTCTGCCCCACCCACGCCACGGTGACCGCCACAGACTGCGGCGGGAATGCTAATTAAACCAGGGAGCTAATTAGTCTGGAGTTGGTGGTTCTGATATTTCTGTTCAGCCCACTGAGGGATGCAAAATGTGTCCCAGGAGCATTTTCAGCAGTGAAACTGCACTCGCTCTGTTAACGCTGCTATGAGGAGTGACACTCCTGTCAGGAGGGAATGAAGGAAGGTTTGGGTTTCTCAGTTAATTAAATCCCCCAAAAACGCCTCCCTTGCCCTGGGTGTACATCCACACTGCCAAAGGTGTAACACAGTAGGATCAGAGTTGTCTGTTACACCAGTGCTGCCGGCAGTGCTGCTCAGCACCCAAAATCTGCCAGCTGGATCAGAACCCAAGTGAGTGTGGAAGTCTCCTCTTAAATTAAATTAGTTTCTACACTGGTTTAACTAAACTGGCTCAGATCCCGTGGGAGGGAGGCATCAACCTCCTTTTATGGAGGAGAGGAGGAAGCACAGAGGCTGCTGCTGGATGTGGGCTGGGTGGGACTGGCAGGAGAACAGTGTTGCTGAGGAGGGTCCATCCATCCATCCATCCATCCATCCATCCATCCATCCATCCATCCATCCTCAGGAATGTTACTAGACTTTTGGTATTTCTTAGGCCTTCTGCCAGCACTGTTACACCTTTGCTGGGCAGGTGTTTTTCTCATGCAGGTGTTTTTCTCATGCAGGTTTTTCTCTCGTGCAGTGTTTTGTACAGGGCAGAGTGGAGCTGGTGGCTGGTTGTGCAGGGATATGAAAGCACTAAAAAGGGTTGGAAGCCTGTCCTTTCCCTGCTTGGTTGGTCTCTTTGTTTTCCAAGTCCCAGCTGTGCTACCAAGAGATAAAATGATCCTTAAAGTCTCCCCTTGCCCTGCCACTGGGCAGAGCCCAAACTTCTCTTGCCCAAGTGCTGTTCTGCTGCACAAGGTTATGCTACAGGAAGCAATCAGCCTCTAGTGAGATTTGCTTCCCCATAAACCATGCAGAAAGTTGTCAAGTCAAAGAAATCTTGGAATTATCTATCTGCCCCTCCTTGATCTGGGCAGAGAAGGGGAAAGCACTGTGCTCCAGTGCTTTGCATGTGAGCAGTGCCAGGCTGGCTCTGGCAGCTGGCTGCAGGCAGGGCACTGCCACCAAGTGTTTTATCACTGTCCAACTTGAAAGCAATACTTTTGGGCTCTGTCCAAGCAGAAGAGAGCAGAGCTCTGCTGTTACAGATTTCTCAACTCCATCTCAGCCCTCAGTGTGAGACTTGGAGGAGACCATGAGACCTTCCCAGCATTCGTTGTTGTTGGGTCCTTTCCCAACATCTGAGTTTTCTTGGGATTTTGGGTACCAAAAACTGCAGCCCAGTGCTGCAGAGCTGTACAGCTGGGAGGACACCCTGCCCTGCTGGGACTGAGCTGGCCCTGGCAGGTCCAGAGCTGGCACTGGTGCCATGTCCCCCATCCCTTGGGCACCAGCAGCGGCAGGACTGGGGAGCAGGGTTTGCTCTCATACTGGAGCTCACATTGCAGCCTGGATTGCCCAGAGTAAAAGAGCCTTTAATGTGGGCTGGTTTCCACTCCTTTTGCTTCATCTGGCCAGGTTCACTCTTTGTGACAAGCCTGAGGTCAAGGGCCTGGCTCCCAGGCGCCAGTGCCTTCGGGGGATGCATAAATAAGGAGATTATTGTGCCTTAATAATTCTAAAAGTAAATGAGCAGTGGGGTATTTGCAGTCCTCTCACTGAGTGAGAGGTCCAGCCCTCCCCAGCAATGTCCCCTCAGCAGCTTAAAAGTTCCACCCGGTCTGTGGCCTTAGCAATAAATAAATAAAAATCCGTTTTCTGGCGAACAAGCGGCGCTCTGATCTCCTATTCATTTATTTGCAGGCCTCATTAATATAACATCAGCGCAACAAACAGCTGAAGGGGGGGCAGTGTCAGGCTGAATAATGGAGTTGCTCTGCTGAGATAACAATTAGGTTCTGAATGTGCCATCAGCTGAGGCAGAGACAAGGAGGGATCATGCCGGGATGACAAAGCTCATGTGCTGCTTCCCGCTGGGCTCATCAGCTGGGATCCAGGGCTCGGAGCAGGAGCAAAAAAAGCACAAAGAGGATGGAGGTGGATGGGTTTGGGGAGGGGGCAGGGGCTGTGCCGTTGATTGGGTGCTCTCTCTGCACCCGAGCAGATGCCAAGGGCTCGCTGTGCAGGGCTCGTGGCTTCCCTGCAGCTCCGCAGGGAAAGCCCCAGCAGCTCCAGCCAGCCCCAGCTCCTGCTCTCCCGGCTCCTCACTGACTTCTTCTGCAGGCAAAATGTTGCTTCATGTCAGAAACACTGAAAGATTCGAGCAGCAAGACATGACACTGAGAACATTTATCCCTCGTTGCTGGAGCCGTGTCCCCTGCAGGCTGCGAGGGGCAGGGCTCTGGCACTGGGCTGGGGCTCCGGGATCCCTGGGACCCTTGGATCCCAACCTTGGGGGTCCCTTGGGTTCCAGCCTGGGGGATCCCTTGGGTCCCAACCTTGGGGGTCCCTTTTGATCCCAAGCTTGGAGATCTCTTGGGTTCCAGCCTTGGGAGTCCCTTGCGCCCCAAGCTTGGGAGTCCCTTGGGTTCCAGCCTGGGGGATCCCTTGGATTCCAACCTTGGGAGTCCCTTGGATCCCAGCCTTGTGGGATCTCTTGGATTCCAACCTTGGGAGTCCCTTGGATCCCAGCCTTGTGGGATCTCTTGGATTCCAACCTTGGGAGTCCCTTGGATCCCAGCCTTGAGGGTCCCTTGGGTTCCGGCCTTGGGGTCCCTTGGATTCCAACCTTGGAGGTCCCTTGGACTCCAGCCTAGTGGGATCTCTTGGATTCCAGCCTTGGAGATTCCTTGGACTCCAGCCTGGGGGATCCCTTGGACTTCATCCTTGGGGTCCCTTGGACTCCAGCCTAGTGGGATCTCTTGGATTCCAGCCTTGGAGATTCCTTGGACTCCAGCCTGGGGGATCCCTTGGACTTCATCCTTGGGGTCCCTTGGACTCCAGCCTTGGGGGATCTCTTGGGTTCCAGCCTCGGTGGTCCCTACCTTGGTTCCAGGTAAAAAGCAGCAATAAGAGACGTGCTCTGGAGCACCTGCAGCCCTTTCCTGACCAAGGGCAGGGTGTGAGGGTGACCGAGCCCCTGGCACCCCCTCATCCCTGTCCCCAGCCCGTTTCCTGACTGACACAGGGCTGCACACCTGATCAGTCCTGTCCTGCATGATTCCAGGGGCTGGGGTGGGATTTGTGGGGAGAGCTGACCTGCTCAGAATAATTCTGCCTCCCACACCCCGCTCAGACCTCGGTGACTTCCAAGCTGCTTCAGTTTAGGAAACAACCTGAAAAGCTTCCAGCAGAGGTGCAGATTCCTAAACAGCAAAGGTCCATCCCCTGGAATGGCCTTGCTCTTTCTCAGCTGCCCTTTGCAGGTCCTTTCCATCCTGCACAGAGCTCTAAGTGAAAAGCCAGTCTGGTGAAGTGATTTTCTTGAAATTGGGGAGTATTTCTTGCTAATCCTGTCTGTCTCAGATCAGAGATGTGGACTGGCAGCCCTGCAGCTCCCAGCACGCCCAGCTGGGATCAAGGCAGACCAGGGGCTGGAGGTGCCTCGTGCTCACCCCAACGAGCAGCCCAGGATGCTGCTCGGAGGGTCCCCAGCTCTGGGTGCACCGGGACCTTTAAGACTTATCTTCTTTCTGCGATTTTGACTGAATCTCTCCAGCTGTAATTAATTGAATGCATCTGTTCTAACCCTGGGGCTGCTTTATGGCACAGTTACTTCAAAACTGTTCAATTAGTGGCCACTAAAATCTAGGTCGAGTGGAGCTCCATATTGGGGATTTTCCAGGTCAGGACATTTTTAAAATACAGCATCAGCTGGGCTTTGTTCGGGGAGGCCGCTCGGCCCCGCTGCTTCTGCTCGGGTCAGGAAATGGCAAGCAGTGACTTCTTTTTCTTGAGCAGCGATGAGACAACGAGACAGCGGAGTAAGTGCCCCAGTAAATGGATTTTAACATCATCCAGAGCTGCAAAGGACAGTTGTAACTGTCAGCCAAGTTCAGGTGATTCCCCACCAGTGATGTAAACACTCCCGGGCCTCCAGGACTCGGTGTAACACAATCCAGCTTGGTTTTGTAGTGGGTTTATGAGCACGTCGAGCTTCCCAGAGCTAAATGATACAAGACAGGCCATGGTGTGAGTTACAGGGAACAGCAGCACAACAGGCAGTGCGTGGTGAATAAATTAAAAACCTCCAGCAGGCGGTGGAGGGGAGAGGGAGGTGGGAATTAAAGGAGGTGGAGGAAGGAGGGGGGTGGCTTGGTGGCTCTGGCGGGTGCATGGAGCTGGAATAACCTCAGCACGTGTGGCCAAAAATGGGGCAGAATGCCCAGGGATGTGATGGAGCCACCCTGGCAGTGCTCAAAAACCAAGTGGATGTGGCCATTGGTTTAGAGGGGATGGTGGGATTCCTTCTTGGAGATCTTGGATGTCTTTTTGGGGAGCTGGGAAGCACAGAAGTGATGGGGACAGGGGTGTCCCTCGAGGGCTGCTGTGGGGCAGGTCGCTGGGATGGTGGCACTGGTGTTTGGCCTTCCTCACCTTCCTCATCCTGAGGAGGTGGAAAAAACCTCCCATCCATCTGGAAACAGCGAGGAAAAGGTTCTGAAGAGCTCAAGTTTTTTGCCAAAGACAAGGGTGGAACAAAGAAGCATAAACAAGATTTATCCATTAAATTAATTAAATTGCATTATTATGGATTGTGTTTATTTATTAATAACAGCTGCAGCACAGGGAAGATTGGAAACTCACCCAAGAGCAACAACAGAGCGATGGCAGATTCAGGATAGCTGTCTGAGAGTCCTGGGCCCAAATTTTGTGACCATGCATTATTGAAATTTATACTCCTAATTGAAGAGGAGATTGTCCTTAATGCAAGTCCAGGGAAGCAGGGATGATTATGGCTGAGGCAGGCTATAAACAGGCAGCCTGAAAGCACACACCTCACCCTTTAACATTTTTAAGTCATTTGAGGTGCCAAGTCACTAATAAAATGTGACATTAACATTCAGAGAAGAGCCAAGGCAGGAGGTAAAGTTCTCCAAGCACCAGGCTGCTTCTGGAAGGTGACTTACCGTGCTCTGGATGGAGAAGGGAGGAGCCAGGTGCATCCTTCTGCAGGGATTTCTGGGAATGGCGCTGCCCACTCTTCTTGGCCAGCCCAGGGACCTTGGAGTCCTCTCTTGGAGCAGGGCACAGATGGATTTCAGCACCCTTGGGCTCCTCCAGGACATCCAGAGGAGCCACGAGGGTGGCCCTGGCTGGTGTGGCAGCAGGAGCAGTGGCTCCAAACCGGGGACGGGGCTGGAGAAGGGGCGTGGTGGGGACGTCACCTCACCTTCCCTGTGTCCTCCTGTCTCCCTGCAGATCCTGACGGTGTCGGGGCCCCCGGAAGGAGGGACCAGGGTGACAATCCGTGGCGTGAACCTGGGCCTGGACTTCTCGGAGATCGCGCAGGGCGTGCAGGTGGCCGGGGTGCAGTGCACGCCCCTGCCCGAGCACTACGTCGTGGCCGAGCAGTGAGTGTCCCCTCCGCTGTCCCCAGGGCTGGGCACCCCACAGAGCTCCTCTCTGACCTCCAGCCAACGCTCAGGAGGCCAAAAACTCACCAAAAACTCACCCAGAGCTTGGGCAGAGCCAACGCTCAGGAGGCCAAAAACTCACCCAGAGCTTGGGCACCTGCAGGAAGGGCTGTGGAGGCGGGCATGGGAAGGGATTCCTGCACATTCCTGCACATCCCCGCACTCTGGACTCTCTCTGCAGGGGTTAAGCAGCCCTTTAAGCTTTCAGTAAATGTTGTTTCCTTGCACGCCTGGGTTCCTGCTTGGCTAAGCACCTTTGCTGATGAGCACCTTGCTGCTGCTGCCTCCCCATCCCACTTGGAATTCCGCCGGCGCCGCCGGCTGCAGCAGCCATTTGTTAGGCAGGCGAGGCGGTGACAGCCCCACGCTCCGAGTGGGCTCCACTGGACTCAATCCATTTGTTTCACTAAGAAAAACGTCAGCCCAAAATTACAAAACAGGCCTGGAACAGGGGAAGGGAGGAAAAAAACCCCCACGGCATGGTACCCGCTCCTCTGCTGCCCCTTGGGGCTGTGCTGGGGTGCCAAGGTGCTCAGGGGGTGCTGGGGGGCATTTGTGCTGGGTGGGACAGGAGAAATAGGACAGGAGAATGGGAGAAATGTCTCCCCTTGGGTTGTGTCATCTCCTGCTGGGGACCAGGATGGTGTCCTGTGCAGTAGGAGCTGGCCAAGGTCCCATGGGTGGTCCCAGCAGCACAAATCCTGCCCCAGGTTTGGGAGCAGCTGGAAGGAGTTGTCCTCTGCTGGAAAATGCATTTGGTGGCTCCCACCCAGAGCCCAGCAGCCCCAGGACCTGTCACAGCAGCACGTGGTGGTGTTGGTTGGGTTTTGTCCATTCCTGGTGTTTCTTTCCCACCTGTAAGGCAGCAGGGGCACTGCTGGCCCCTCTGGAGCAGTGCAGATTCCCAGGGAATTTGGGATCATGGGTGAAGGGTGCCTGGGGCTGCTGCAGGGATGGCTCCAAGCACGGCACCAACACCCCACCACTGCGAGCAGTTGGGGCTGTTCTGCTGAGCAGTACTTTGTTATATTTTATTTTTCAAATAAAAGATGGAAGATTATGAAATTATCCCCCTTTGATGGTATGAAACCCTGATTTTATAATCATGACTCTAATTACGGCTCTTGAGCTTTCAAAGTTTGTTAACATCATTAAAACATTTACCCTGGGCAGATAACAGCAAGCGTTAGCATGAGAGCTGCCTTTTAAAGATGAATACAGATAAAAGGACCCTCTTAAGGGTTCTGTGGGCAGACTGAATTCCAAGACTGTAATGACTCTGCCATATGCTCCAGCCCCGCAATCTATCAGCCAGCAATTAGGTTAATGTTGGTGAAAGGGCCACTTAGCCCGGCAATCAGCACCCTACAGCTCTGCCGAATGCATCATTTTGTAACAAGGTACCTGCTGGGGCTTTGGCTTGGAGCAGGACCCGGGGCCAGGTGTGCCCGGTCCCTTCTGCCCTGTCCCGCACCCGTCCCTGCCCGGGCTGCGCTGCAGCTGCCGCTCTGCTGGCAGAGCTGGGCATTCGGTGTTTCCTTGCTGTAGAGAGAACCTCCCCTCTCCTCTCCTCTCCTGCCCTTGGGGTGCCAGGAATCGCCCCCTGGCTTTGTTTGCCCCAAGCTCAGAGTGGCCTCCTCTCCCCGCTGCCAGTCTGCAGGAGGAGGAGGAGGAGGAGGAGGAGGGAGAGGTGAAGGAACAGGCAGACAGGTGCAGGGGTGATGTCTGGTTGAAAGGCAGAGCGAGGAGCGCGTGGCAGAGGAAGGCTGGGAGCTGAGACGCTTCAATCCCTGCTCTCCAAAGGCAGCTCTCTCCAGGCAAGCCCTTTTGATGTGCAGCAGCGAGGACGTGCACGTTCCAGCTCCATACCAGCCTGTGTGTATTTCATCAGGCCTCCTGGCATCACCTGTGCACAGCAGCTTCTTTTTTTCCTTCAGTCTTCGTGGTTTATTTTATTTTATTTTATTTTATTTTTTATTTGCAGTGAGTTTAAGGCTGCTGAAGGCAGCTCGAAGGCTGCCTCTCCAAACTGGCGCCTTTTATGTCTTTGTGTGTGATGGGCAGAGTGAGAACTTCTTTTTCCTTCAGCTCAGCAGGCAGAGGCTGCTCTGGCTCTTCTCTGGTCCCACTCCCAGGGTCAGATCCCCACAGGTGGAGCTGCACCTCCTGCCTCGGGCAGGTTACTCCCACCTTCAGCTTTTCCTCCCTGAGGCCAATTACCCATCTCCAGCCCCCCTCTCAGATTTCCAGTCTGGGGCAGGTTCCTCCCGCCCTCAGCTCCCCAGAGCCTGCAGGGATGCTCTTGAATTTATTTTCCCAGCATTGCTGTGGCAGCAAGCAGCATCCAGGTCCATCTGGAGAGCCCTGCCAGCTGATGCCCCTCTGAAAACCTCCCCCAGACCTGCTGGCATGACTGGCATCCACTTGATCCCGTCCCCAGCTGGTGCCACACATCCCCTGTGCCCTGGGATTTGGGGGTTATTCATCCACAGTGATCAGCCATGGATAGCCCCAGCAGCTCTGCCTGGCCCTGCAGCTTTGCCCTGGGATTTTGGGGTTGTTCATGCATCAGTTCTGGTTAGCCCCACTGCTCTGCCTGGCCCTGCAGCTTTGCCCTGGGATTTTGGGGTTGTTCATGCATCAGTTCTGGTTAGCCCCACTGCTCTGCCTGGCCCTGCAGCTTTCCCAGCCTCAGGATGTGCCCGCGGGGCTGAGCTGGAGCACACCAGGACAAGCTCCTGTGACCACCACGAGCGTGTTTGTGGCACCCAGCCTGTCCCCCAGCAGAAGCTGCTCTCCAGGGCTGTCTCTATCATCCCCAGCAGGTTTCTCCAGTTTTGATTAACTGGGAGTCTGCAGTGTGAGCTGTTCCCTTAATGAACTCATCTGTTACTCTGAGGACTTCGCACTCACTTTGCTACTGGCTAATATATTGCCATTAGTGCTCTGCTTTGCTCTGGAGTTTACAGCTTGTAATAATTATGTCTAATTTTGATTTTTTTTTTCCTTTAAATTACTACACGGGGTAAAAATAGACTCAGTAATTAACTTCTTCCAAAGAGGCAGATATCAAAGTTAAAGCGGGGGGGAGGGGGGAGAAAGGAGAAATAAAGGCAGCATGGAGCTGTGCAGGGCACTGCTGGCACCTCCTGCCAAAGCTCCCCTGGGCCATTTGTGCTTCCAGGATCGTCTGTGAAATGGGGCAGGCGCTTCCAGGGATCAGCTCCGGCCCAGTGCTCCTGTGCATCGGAGAGTGCAAGCCCGAGTTCACGGCCAAGTCAGCGCAGCAGTACACGTTCGTGGTGAGTGTCCTGCTGGGGACAGCACGCGTGTGCCCAGCCTGGCACTCCGAGGGGCTTCAGCTCCAGAGCGCAGTCCTGGAATTGCTGGGGTTTTGGGTTTTTTTTCTGGGGCTTTCTCCCTGGTGTTGCTCAGGTTTTGGTGGCCCACTCAACAAGCCCAGCTTGCAGGATTGAGAGCTCACCCTGTATGATAAACCATGGCTCTGCACCCCCAGAGCAGGGATTGTGGAATCACAGATTGCTTTGGGTTGGAAGGGACCCTCAAAGACCCTGTCCCACCCCAGCCATGGCAGGGACACCTTCCACAGTCCCAGGCTGCTCCAAGCCCTGTCCAGCCTGGCCTTGGGCACTGCCAGGGATGCCCTGCCCTGTCGCAGGCACCGCTGCAGCTCCCTGGCTGCTGCAGGGGCACTGAGCTGTCCTTTCCTTCCTGCAGACCCCAGCTGTGAGTTTCCTGAGCCCCAGCCGTGGCCCGGAGTCGGGAGGGACCATGGTGACCATCTCTGGCCACTACCTCGGGGCTGGCAGCCGCGTGTCCGTGCTCCTGGGGAACCAGACCTGCGAGTTCCTCGAGTAAGAGACCAGCACAGGCTCCTGCAGCACCTCCTGCTCCCATCCCAGCTCGGATCTGCTGGAGCTGAACGTGCAAAAATCCATCTGGGAGCCCCTAAGGCTCCCATTGCCTCTTTCATTGCATGAAACCATCTTCTCTTTTATTGTGATGGAGGCTTGCATGGCAAGGGAGGGATTCGTCGGTGTCAGTGCTGTTCATTATTTCATTTTAATGCTGTTCCGATGGTAACTGCTCTGAAAATCACAGTGAAACACCACTGGGGTGGAAATATGCTTATATTGGTCACTAGTACCCGCCCCAGCCTGGCTGCTCTGAAGGAAATGGCACATTTATATGAAATATCTCCTTTCTCTTCACAGACCTGCATTGCTTTTCTTGTAGCCACTGCTGCAGGTGCCTCGACCTCCTAGAAATGGTCTGGGATGCTCAGGGCAGAGCAAGGCGAGGTCTGCTCACACCTCCTGCTGAGGAACTTGCAGAGCCATCAATCTCTGCTGGGATTTCGATGGCAAATTTGCTTTTTCCCCAGCAGTGTAAACACAGAGTTGACATTTGCAGGGTTTAATGGGTTTTCCTGGGGCTTAGTTAAAAAAGAGACGTGAGGTTTACATCTGTGTGTACCAGTACACAGCCCTGCCCACCCTGCTGGCAGCGGGCACAGCCCGGGTGGCAGCCTGGTATCCAAAGGGATTCTGCCTCCCAGATCCTCACTCAGGCTGCCCAGGAGGAGCTGAGGAAGTTTCTGGAAAAGCCAAGATCCCTGGAGGTGAATTTCTTATCCAAAAGCCTGAGAGATTCCTGGATGTGGGAGCTGTGGGTGCTCAGGTTGGGAGCACGTTGGGTTATCAGCAGGGCTTGCTCTGCATCCATGCCAGGACGGTGCTCAGGGCATTCCAGAACCTTCCAGAACAGCTCAGCCCTGCAGGTGTTAAGCAGTGTAGCCAACCCATCAGTATTTCCTCCCACATCCCAAACAAAGATGCCAAATTGCTCCCAGAGATGGAGACAGGGAAGAGCAGAGGCGCAGGGTCAGCCCTGGAATATCATCCCTTAAACACCTGATCCCATTCAGGCAACCTGCAGCTGCTGGCCTGCAAAACCTGGGGGGTTTTGTATTCCCTGGGTGTTGTGATGGCAGCAGGACAGAAACTTCAGCCAGCAGAGAGCAGTGCCTGGGTGCCCTGTCCCTCACTGGGGCCACGCTGTGCTCTGGGTTTGCCTCAGACTCTGCTGAGCCAGTGAACTCCAATTGTACTCCCGGGCGTGGGGGAGCCTGATGAGATGAAGCAGCTCCTAATGAGATTCCCTCTAATTACAGCTTCCCCCATTCTCCCCTCTGTGATCGGAGGAGTGGGTAGATTCACCATGACGACACAATAATAGCACAGAAAGCTAATTAGCTGATCACAGGCAGCCGGGAGCTGCTCTGCCAGCAGCCCTGCCTCACTCCGGGCTCGTGCCAGAGCTGGGCAGGCACGGGCTGGGCAGCAGCAGGGCAGGAACCCAGAATCACCTCAGCACAGAGCCTGCAGAATCCCACTCCTCACACAAGGAAGCCTTTGTGGCTAAATTAAAGCAAGGTGGATGTGAGGAAACCAAGTGAGGAGAGGAAAAGGATCAGGAGCAGGGCAGAAGGGGTGGGTGTGTTACTGCAGCCACAGCAATGGTCAGGTGCACTTGGTGTGAGGTGTTTCAGGGGGCTGTCTCTGTCCCCTCGGATGTGGGGCATGGAAGGGCCGAGGTGTGAGCTGGGAACGTTGTGGTGCCTGCTGTTCCATGCCCTCCTGAATGCTCCTTAGGGAGGGCAGGGGGGGTGTGAGTACCCCAAAAGGGACCCCACATTGTCCCCCCGGCAGGCACAGGCTCAGGGCTTTGCTGGAAGCAGAGCAGGGACACGGCTGCACTTGAGCCTCAGCCACCCAGGCACCCCCACAAGCCCCTGAGGATGGTGAGGGTGGTGAAGGTTGCCCATTCAGGAGTGCCAGGTTTTGATTTGAGTACCAGACTGGCAGTGAGGTGCTGCAGACCTGCCTGCCCTCTGCCCTAGGGGAACCCAAAACTAAAGAAACCACGAGCCAGATAGGTTTGGGCAGCAAGGAGAGCCAGAGGTGGCCGTGCAGGAGAACTGGCCTGCCAGGAATGTGCCTCCAGCTCCTTGGATCAGTGTCCAAGGAGCCTCCCAGCTCAGTTCTGGATGCTCAGATCTCATTCCCCTTCTCCATCCCTCCGCCCCGCGGCGCCTTTGTGCTCTGGCAGTGCCTCACTGCCGCTGCCTCCACCTTCTCCGGGGCTCGGGTGGCAGCAGATGGTCTGTTGTGTCCAGCCAGGCAGCGCCGAGCCCAGGTCACCCCGCTCTGAGGGGACACAAAGCCGAGGCAGCGCTGCCGTGCCACGGCCCTCCGCAGGCAGGGGCTGCTCATTGTGCTGCTCACAAGAGCCTGGTGTGTGCACTGGGCTGGGGACGGGAGGAATTTGGCTTTTCACTGAGCTCATGCATCCCGTTGAAAAGGCAGCCATCTGTTTTCGCACGCCCAGCAGACGGCAGCGGGTTCAGGGGGTGCAGCTTGGCACTCAGAGGGATTTCAGGGGGGCTGCGCTGCTCTCACCCTGGGCAGAGCTCGGGGCAGAGCTCCCCACCTTTCCTTCCATGCCAAGCCCTCCTGCCCACCTCAGCAGCTGCCCAGGTGCCAGTCTGGGGCTGGCTGCAGGCTCAGCCCTTCCTGAGCTGCCCCAGGACAGGACAAACCTTGTTTCCTGCCCTCCACCACCACCCCATTAACACTGCCCGCTTCCCTCCCGCGCAGGCGATCCATGAACGAGATTGTTTGTGTGTCAGCGCCCTCAGCTCACGGCCTGGGGGCTGTTCAGGTCTCTGTCAGCGTGGACAGGGCTCAGCTGGAGAGAACTCTGCTGTTTGAGTACATCGATGACCCCAAGGTGCAGCACATCGAGCCCGAGTGGAGCATCGCCAGGTAACAGCACCTCCTTGGCTCTCCCTGCCCTGGCGCTCCTCAGCACACACCCAGGCCAAAAAGGGGCTGTTTGGGAGTGCGCCTCCCACCCAGCATCCTGAACAGGTCAGAGCTGGGCATTTCTGGGGTTTGCATTTAGCCCAGCTCGGGCCTGGGGTTGCCAGGGGGGTTGTGTTCAGACCAGGAGTCTGGGGGCTCAACCAAAGCCCAGACCACCTTCTCTGCTGCAGAAAGGCACAACTGTTCCTTCTTGTGGTCCTGGAGCACCACAAAACCAGCAGCCACCAGGAAAGAAAAGCTGATGTTGATCAAAAGGCAGGGTGAGGGACAGGGTGGCTGCTGCTGTCACATCATGGGGACACTGCTGAAAGCCCTGGGCTGTTCCCATCCTGGCATCTTGTCTCTGGGAGCCAGGCCCTGTGCCCAGCCCAGCCCTGACCAGCCTCTCCTGGCTTCCCACAGCGGACACACGCCCCTGACTGTCACTGGCTCCAACCTGGACGTGATCCAGGAGCCCCGGATCCGCGTCAAGCACAACGGCAAGGAGTTTGTCAACGTGAGTAGGGGCTGGGAGCACCACCTGCACCCCCTGGATGGGCCACTGCCGCCAGGGCTGCCTGCCTGGGCAGGTTTGCCATGGAAAAAGCTGCTCTGGGGGTGTTTCCTGCACTCCCCCAAACTGGGAGTGCTGGGAAGAGGGAATTTGACACACAAGAGTGGGAGATTACCTCCTTCCCCTATCTATTCTTTCAGTCCATAAACCCACAGATAAATGGGGACTAAGCAAGGTTCTTGTGTGTAAGAATAGTACCTCCAGGACTTCAGAAATTATTCTGGCCAAGTAGAACTGAAATATATTGTTTCTATGCAGTGATCTTTGTGACTGAGTCTGTATTCTCTTGGAAAGGGCAAATCACTGAGCAGTCTTTTCCTATTCCTTTTCTCCCCCTCAAGACCTTTTTCATCTGAGCTCTTTTTAAAAAGACATCTAATTTTGTTGCTAACACTTGCAGTTACAGTGCTACAAAAATAATTCTGAAGACACAAAATTGAGTGAAATTAAATCTTTCAGTTATGGAGGGAGGCCAAATGGTTGGGCTCTTGCTGCTTTACAAGGCAAGAGCCCCATAAATCAGTGATTTCCCTGCTTTGAGGGCTGCAGGAGCTGTGGGTGTCCTCAGCCCAGCAGGAGATGACCTTCATGTTCCCTCCTGCCCACCAGTGCCACATGATCTGTTCCCTTCCCTCGCTGGCATTTGGGAATGGCCTCTAATCACCCATTTGCAGCAGGGAACTGGTATTGCCTGTGGGTCTGCTTCAGAGCTAGAGAGGAGAAAAGTGGAAAGAAATGGGAAAAAATAGAGAAAAATAAGTAAGAGCTGCTGTGTGAGCCTTTAGCTCCACTGAAACACGGCTCATTTTGGGCTCACCTCCATCTCTACCCCAGTGCTTTCATGCTGGCTGGAGGAGAAGCAAATTACCCCAAATTATGGCAGTGGCATCAGTAAGGTTGGAAAAAACCTCTGAGACCACGGAGCATCAAGCCTGGATTAAACATTCCCAGCTAGGCATGAACCCCCTGGGCTTCCCATCCACCAGAGCACCACGGCCCAGCTCAGGGCAGAGTGTGCCCTGCTGTGTCCTCTCCTGGTGTGCAAGGTGGTGACTGTCCCGTGTCCGTCCCTGGCCAGCGGCCAGCATCAGGGGGACAATGGTTAGTCACTGGCCATTAACAGATAATTGGGGAGCTTTTCTTTGGCAGTGAAACTAACTTACAACAACTGGTCTGACTTGTTTTTAACTCTGCAACCAAAAAAAAAAATAGATAGCTTTCTATTCATAACAAACACCACAGCCCTGGCCTGCTTGGCCTAGCTCAGGACAGTCTTCTGTGCTGAAATTCCCCTGCTCCAGGTGTGCAAGGTGGTGAACGCCACAGCCCTGGCCTGGTTCAGTGCAGAGTGTTCCCTGCTGAAATGTTCCCTCCCCAGGTGTGCAAGGTGGTGAACGCCACAGCCCTGGCCTGGTTCAGTGCAGAGTGTTCCCTGCTGAAATGTCCCCTCCCCAGGTGTGCAAGGTGGTGAACGCCACGGCCCTGGTCCAGCTCAGGGCAGAGTGTTCCTTGCTGTGTCCCCCATTTCCCCAGGTGTGCAAGGTGGTGAATGCCACGTCCCTGGCCTGCCTGGCGCCGCCGCTGACCGCCGAGTACCGGCCGGGGCTGGACGCTGTGGAGCGCCCGGACGAGTTCGGCTTCATCTTCAACAACGTCCAGTCCCTGCTGCTCTACAACGACACCAAGTTCATCTACTACCCCAACCCCACCTTTGAAATGCTGAGCTCCACCGGGGTGCTGGAGCAGAAGCCGGGCTCTCCCATCATCCTGAAGGTAAGGAGAGCCTCGCTCAGCCCGTGGGGAGCCCACAAAAACCCAGGGAGGGAGGGAGTGAGTGTGGTTCTCCCTGCTGCGGAGTTTGGGGTGCCCTAAACAGAGCCCCAGGGAGGGAGGGAATGAGTGTGGTTCTCCCTGCTGCGGAGTTTGGGGTGCCCTAAACAGAGCCCCAGGGAGGGAGGGAATGAGGGGGGTTCTCCCTGCTGCGGAGTTTGGGGTGCCCTAAACAGAGCCCCGTTGTTTGCGCGAGGTGCAAGCTGGAGGAATGTGCTGCATCTTTGTCATGTCGTGTCCCCAGGGCAGGAACCTGTGCCCGCCGGCCCCCGGAGGAGCCAAGCTCAACTACACGGTGCTGATCGGGGAGACGCCCTGTGCTGTCACCGTGTCAGAGACACAGCTGCTCTGCGAGCCCCCCACCCTCACCGGGCAGCACAAAGTGGTGGTGAGGATGTCCTCCAGCATCCCCTTCCCCTCTCCTCCCCGCCCTTTCTCCTCCTTCTCCACTCCCTGACTCGCCTGGATACACAATCCCCCTGTAGGATTTTCCATTTTGTGGGTGTCTGATTGGAAGTTTAAAATATTGGTGTGGATTAGCATGGAGAGGCTTTGTCCTTCCCTGAGAGTCACTCCCTTCTAGAAGGATAAATACCCCTCAGAGCGTTCTAGAAGGAACAAATCTTTCTGGCAGTGCCTTTGGCACTGGGTGCCATCCTTCCTCTGTATGCAGTTGAGAGCATTCCCAGTTCTCCCTCCTGGAGGGTTTAATCAGCCCACGGAGACAGACCTGAGCTGCCAAGCGGATGGAAAGGTTTTGCCTTTTCCCGAAGCAGGAGCCAGGAACATCTGAACCCTGGAGTGGTTGGATCAACACCCTCATGCAGGACAGCCCTCAGTGCCTCCCTCTGCTTGGGGCTTGGGCATCGCTGCTTCCTCTGCTCCTCCTGCAGACCAAGCCCCAGCTGCCGAACTGCCTGAGCAGAGCCCAAATGAGATTGTAATTGTGATTTATTTCCCTTGAAGTTCAGCATCCAAAACATATTCAGATTATCGCAGCGTGACTCCCAGCAGCTCAACCTGGCTGAGAGCTGCTCACATCTGTGGCCAGGGCACATCCAAGAAAAGCCTGTCCTGGTGTAAACTCCAGCCTGTTTGCTGCACAGCCCTCACGTGGGGCTCTCTGCTCCCTTCTCTGCTCTGCCCTTGCAGTCGCTCTGGTTTCTTGTCAGTGGAATGATCAGGGGCTTGTTAACGTCCGTGGCTTACGAAAAGGAGTTGAAAGCTTATAAAATGAAAGTCAAATGGAGCCATCAGATAACAAGAACAAAGCCCAGATAGTGAAGGGCTGGCACATTTATCATCACTTGAAGCCTCCCTGTGCTCACACAAGCAGCCCCTCCGTGTTTGAAGGCAGCTGGGGTTTCCTGTCCCTCAGCAGAGGCGGCTCAGTGCTTCCCCAGGGATCTGTGGGTGGGCAGGACGGGCTTTGGCACAGGGCTCACCTGTGCTGTGCCCTGCAGGTGCGTGTGGGGGGGGTCATCTTCTCCCCTGGCTCGGTGAGCGTCGTGTCCGACAGCCTGCTGACCCTGCCCGCCATCGTCAGCATCGCGGCCGGCGGCTCCCTGCTCCTCATCATCGTCATCATCGTCCTCATCGCCTACAAGCGCAAGTCCCGCGAGAACGACCTCACCCTCAAGAGGCTGCAGATGCAGATGGACAACCTGGAGTCCCGGGTGGCCCTGGAGTGCAAGGAGGGTCAGTGCTGCTGGGGCTGGGCGTGCCTGGCTGCTGCAGCTCCCTGGCGGGGTCCCAGTTCTCCCAGTGCCGCGGGGTGTGCAGCGGGGAGCTGGGTGGGTGCTCTTTGGGGTTTGTGGGAGCTCCTTGGGGTTTGTGGGAGCTCCTTGGGGTTTGTGGATGCTCCTTGGGGTTTGTGGGTGCTCCTTATGGTTTGTGGGCTTTTTGTGGGGTTTTTTTTGTGGGATTTTTGGGGGGTTCCCATGCCTGCCCCACGGCGGGAGGGTGGCAGCCCGCAGCGTGTGAGCAGCAGACACGGCTCTGATGTGCAGAGAATGGGATTAGAGCTTGATCCTGCTTAGGCACCCTGCCTAAATTTTGGGTGTTATTTGGAGTATCCAGAGCTGCTGCTTGAGAGTTTCCACATGGACGAGTCCTGTCCCTTGCAAGGAGGCAGCTGAGCCCCCCTCACCCCGCAGGTGAAGGTGGATTTTTGGGGGGTGCTGCTGCTGTTTCCTGCTCCTCCCACCTGGGAAGGGCCTTAATCAATCAAAGTAAAATAAATGGCTGCACACTTCATAGTGGAGAGAGAGAGTTGCATTGGATTTGTTCAGCTGATTTCAAGGGTAGCCTTGAAAGCAGAAATTGAGATGTATTCAGGAGAAGGCACAGATTCAGCTTGGCACAGCCCAGCTGGGCTACAGAGGCTTCCCTGAGCCAGCGTGTCTCACTTTGGAGAGGGAACAGGAGGAGACACATCCAGCTGTACAACACGGTGTTAGGAGAGGAGGAATAAATCCCTTCCTGACCCCTGCAGCAGCTCAGATTTGATCTGCAACAGATTTGATTATCTTGGCAACTGTTGATAGAGGAGGAAAACAAGAAGAAAGGAAAATAGGGGAGGCAGCAAGTTATGAAAACAGATCCTCGTTTCTCTGCGCAGCCTTTAAAGGTGTTTTAGGTGTGTGTGCACAGGTGTGAACTGCATACAAATTAACCAGAGCTTTGTTCTCAGCCTGCTCTGAGCAGAGCCTGCTCTCCCACCCTCGGCTGCTGAGACAGAATCTCCAGGGGTGCTGAGCTCCCTGGATCCCTTCCTGAGCTGTCCCTCCAGCCGTGCCCGCGGGGAGAGCATCCAGCCAGCCCTGCTGAGCTCTCCCTGCCCCTTTCTCTCCCCGTGAACAGCTTTTGCAGAGCTGCAGACGGACATCAACGAGCTGACCAGCGACCTGGACCGCTCGGGGATCCCCTACCTGGACTACCGCACCTACGCCATGCGCGTGCTCTTCCCGGGCATCGAGGACCACCCGGTCCTGCGGGAGCTGGAGGTAACCCCCGCCCTGCTCCGGCTCCCCAGGCTCCCCCGAGCCCTCAGGGGAGGCAGCAGGAAGCCCTGCAGCACCTTTGGAGCTCCACACCAAATTGTTGGATGCCCTGGGGTCAGCAGGGTTTATTTTAATTCCCGGCCTGGAGGTTTGTCTCCTCCCACATCGCCGGATTCCTTTCGGCTTCTCCTGCCTGGTGTAGGTTTATTTTTATTTTATGAGGGTTTATATCGCTCTAGGGCAGGGCAGAGCAGTTGTGGTGTGCTTTAAAGTCCTCCAAAGTCACCTCGTGGGGCAGGGGATGCTGGAGTGCCCGGAGCATCCTGCCCGGAGCATCCTGCTGCTGTTCCCTCGCGTGTCCACAGGAGGGCAAGGAGAATGCCCGGGAATTCAGCCTCTGAGCAAGCGCTTCCATCTCCCTGCTTTTCCCACCAGGATGTGTAAAAATATACAAAACACTTTCACTGGGAATACGGAGGGATTGGGAAGGCACAGGGTCCATCAGTGCACCTGGCAGATGGGCCAAAAAAAGGATGGGGTTCATAAACATCACACCTGGGATGGGGCTGCTCTCCTTCCCTTGGCATGGGGCTCTGATGCCCACCCCGGGATGGAGCTGCCATCCTCCCTGTGGGATGTGCAGAGGCTCAGCTCAGCTTTTCAGGGACTGAGATTGCCCCAGTGAATCCTGAAATCCTGTTTCCTCCACAAAGACCGGGGATGGATGGAGGAGGGAGGAGTCCTGGTTGCTCTAGGGCTGATTCCTTTTCCAGGCAGGCACTCCCCACCATTAAAGGATTAATTTGGGTTCCTTTCCTCAGCACCCAGCAGTTGCTGTGGTGTTGCTGAAACAGGAGCAGCCTCTCCCAGCCCATTCCTGCTCTGAGTTTTCCAGCTCCATGCATTATGTTTGCTGTTGGGTTGCCAAAGAAGCTGACACTCCAGCAAACAAATATGAATGCTTTTTTTTTTTTTTACTCATGAAAAACAGAATTGCAGAAGTGATAAATGTGTTGCCAATTACACAGTTGCTTAATTATGTAACGTTAGTAAAACCAATACATAACTCTCCAAGATGTTTGGTAAAGAGTTGCTTCGTGCAGTTCATCATTTTCACTTGTAATGAATTACTTGAATCTGCAACTGGCTGAAAGCCTCAATTAATTTTTTACACTTGGCCCATAATAAAGCAATAGTCTAAATTAGTATTTAATTTACTTACCAGAGTGTCACTTTTTGTGCAGAACAAGCAGAACTGGTGTCATTTCTGGGGCCGTTAGGCTCCAGGCTGCTGTTTTATGGCGTGCACAGGGTGCAGCTCCCAGCCAGGGCCCAGGGCAGCCATGGAGGGGGAGGTTTGCTCAAGGTGGACCAGAAACCACATCCAGGGGTGCTGAGATCCTGAGGGATGGGTGCAGCCAGGGTTAAACCATCCTGTGCACACTTCTGACGCCCCCAACATGAGAAGGACTGCTGGAGCAAGTCCAGAGGAGGCCAGGAAGTTGCTCAGGAGGCTGGAACAGGCTGGGAGAGTTGGAAATGTTCAGTCTGGAGAAGAGAAAGTCGTGTGGAGACCTCCCAGCACCTTCCAGGGTCTGAAGGGTGACAAGAGAGCAGGAGTTGGGACTGCAGGAACTGCAGGGACAGGAGAAGGGAGAATGGATTCAGACTGGCAGAGGGCAGGGTTAGGTGGGATCTTGGGAAGAAATTATTCCCTGTGAGGGTGGGAAGAGAAGAAGCTAGAGAAGCTATGGCTGCCCCTGGGTCCATGGAAGCGTCCAAGGTTGGAGCACCCTGGGACAGTGGAAGGCGTCCCTGCCATGGCAGGGGGTGGGACGAGTAGATTTTTAATGTCCCTTCCCACCCAAAGCATTCCCTGCTCCTGTGCTTCCCCCGGTGCTGGCAGGGTGACCCTGCTGTCCCTTGTCCCCGCCATGCTGCAGCTGACGGCCACAATCCCCTCCTGCAGGTGCAGGGCAACGGGCAGCAGAGCGTGGAGAAGGCCCTGAAGCTCTTCGCCCAGCTGATCAACAACAAGGTGTTCCTGCTGACCTTCATCCGCACGCTGGAGCTGCAGCGCAGCTTCTCCATGCGCGACCGCGGCAACGTGGCCTCGCTGATCATGACGGTGCTGCAGAGCAAGCTGGAGTACGCCACCGACGTCCTCAAGCAGCTGCTCTCCGACCTCATCGAGAAGAACCTGGAGAACAAGAACCACCCCAAGCTGCTGCTGCGCAGGTGAGGCCGGGCACGGGCAGGGGATGGGTGCTGCAGGCGGCGCGGCCACGCTGGTGGGGATTCCAGGAGGAATTCTTCATGGAAAAGGCTGGGAGGGGCTGCCCAGGGAGGTGGTGCAGTGGCTGGAGGGTCTGGTCTTGTTGACAAGGTGGGGATTGGACATGGATTTGATTTGATGATTGCAGAGGTGTTTTCCAACCTGAATAATTCCAGGATTCTGTGATCTGAGGGCTCTGCGGGGTGTTGGAAGGGAATTGCTGCTCTCCATCCATTTCCTCACCTGTCTCCAGGGTGGGGGCTTAGCCCTGCTCTGGGAGGTCACAGATGGCAGGACAGGGTCTCAAACCAGATCCTCTGGCTCTGCCTGGCTGGGGAGCAGCATTTGTGTGCCACAGCTGGGCCAGGAGCTCACAGGGATTGAGCAACTCGCCCACGGCAGAGCTGGGAAGAGCCAGCAAGAAAATAGGGAAAAAATGTGCATTAATGTGGGCCAAATCAGTGGGCACAAGGAAAAGGCTGCCCCTGTTCTCCACGTCCTTGGGGGTCCTGCAGAGCCTGACCTCGGCCAGTACTGCCCCTCGGCTATGCTGGGGCTGTGCTGGCATCACACTGGAGAGAGGGGAGGATTTCACAGCTCCAGGAAAATTTCAGGGGTCCCTGCAGCCACAATGAATATACTTGACAGGAAATTGCTTTAAATCTGGCTGTGTTTGCGGAGGCAATAACTCATCTTGGCAAAGGAAGCCGCCTTAATTTCCCCCGTGGTTTGACGAGTCACTGGGAAGGCGTCTTCTGCCTCAGCCATCAATAATGACTTTTCCTGGCACTCCAAAAAACACAGGGATGGTGATAGGAGCTGTGCCCCCTCCTCCCTGCACAGCCAGCAAGGAGTCAGGCCCGGGGGCTGTCTGTCCTTTGGGCTGTCTGTCCTTTGGGATGTCTGTCCTTTGGGATGTGTGTCCTTTGGGCTGTGTGTGCTTTGGGCTGTCTGTCCTTTGGGCTGTCTGTCCTTTGGGCTGTCTGTCCTTTGGGATGTGTGTGCTTTGGGCTGTCTGTCCTTTGGGCTGTCTGTCCTTTGGGCTTTGTGTCCTTTGGGATGTCTGTCCTTTGGGCTTTGTGTCCTTTGGGCTGTCTGTCCTTTGGGCTGTGTGTCCTTTGGGATGTCTGTCCTACACCAGGATTTGCCCATTGCACAGGGAATCACAGCATTGGGCATCTAGCACCAATCTGGGCAATCTGGGCCAGTGTTTCACCACCCTTACAAAAATTCCTGCTTTATGTCTAGTCTGAATCTATTCTTTTTTAGTTTGAAAGCTTTATTCCTTGTCCTGATACTCCAGGTCCTGTTAAACCCGAGGCTGGAGACCTGTCCCAACCCTGTGCCCGGCTGCTCCAGCCCAGCCTGGAGCTCCTTGCTCTGACTTAATAAGGAGTGATCAGCCATGAAGCGAAACACTATTTTTTAAAATGTTTTGAGCTCTCTGGTGGCAGCAGCTGATAACTGACACTCAGTTCTTTCCCCCTTTCTTCCTTGCTTTCCCCTCTCTCTTTCTTCCACGACTGCCCCTCGCGGGAGACAGCAAGAAAGTTGACGTTAAATCAAACAGCTGCTCTGGTTGCTGGCAACAGCAGTTTGGAGACCTACATAGAGCAGGGAGAATTAATAAAATACATATTTATTTTTTAGGTTCTCCCAGCTCGTTTTGTTTAGGTTTGTTTTCTTGCTGGAGCAGCCAAGGCTGGGCGTTTTTGTCAGGCTCCTCTGGATTGTGCTGTGCCCTCCTTCTGTGGCCAGCATGAGAAGGGTTTGCTCCAACTCTATGGATTCTCTTCTGCCCTGGCAGTCTCCAGGAGTTTATTTTTTATTTTTGGAACAGTTCTTTAACAGCATCCAGAGGCCGGTGATGGCACAGAGTGGTGCTGGTAGGGGCAGCTCAAAACCTGGCAGCAGATTTGGGGGCTCAGCAGATCTGGCATCAGCAGAGCCCTCTGTGTGTAGGGCTCTAGAAAGGCCAGGCCCTGGGCTGTGAGGCAGAGTTTCCCTTTTGCAAGGCAGGGATGCTCCATGCAGGCATTCCCAGCACCAGGGAGGTTGAGAGCTGCCCCTGTCCACCAGCACAGGGCAGTGAGGATGGACCCAGCATTGACTCCATTGCTGGCTGTCCCCAGGACTGAGGAATTGCAAATATCTCATGGTAATTCCATCCCATCCCATCCATCCCATCCCATCCCATCCCATCCCATCCCCCAGTCAGAATTCCCCAGTTTCTCTGTCCCTCCACATTTCAGTGCCTTTTGCAGAGCTGGTGTCAGGCCATGAGCAGCCCACAGGGACAGGGCACAGCAGCTTCACGGGGAGGGCTAATTGGGAGACTTGCTAATTCTTCATTTAATATTCTATTAACAAAGTAGTTTATTAAATTAATATTCCCCCTGAAGCCCTGAATGTATTATTTTCTGAGTTTTTCACCTCTTTTGTGGCTGGTGTCACTGCCTCTCCATTTTCTAGGGCTGTTTGGAAGGGTGCTGCTGCTTCTTCTCTTTAATTAGGTGCCTGAAATATTTCAAACAGGAGAACGATGTGTGTGTCAATTTGTAGGATGAATTTTTAGGCAGTTAATCAATTCAGCCTTAAATTCTTTGGGGATGTGCAGACATTTTCACGAATTCCTGACAGATGTTGCCATCCTAGGAGATGATGGATGATGCTACCCCAGGTCTGTTGGCCGACTGGTGTCAGTTTTTGTTTGTTGAAATCTCTGGCTCCTGTTTTTTCTTGATCTGCTTGGCTCTAGAATCAAGCCCTGTGCTTCTTTGGTGTGTGCTTGTAATTCCAAGCACTTGGAATGCTGTGGGGATTCAGAGAAAGAGGCAGTCCCTCATTTAAGGGGAAGAACGGGGGAAATGGGGCTGGAATGAGATGTGATCCTCTCCAGGTCAGGAGGAGGTGACCTGGTTCATGGCGAGGGCAGAGGGATCAGTCCCCAGGGGAAAGGGAATTGCATTCATCCCTCTTTGCTTGCTGGAACTCGGACCAGATCCTGGTGTCCATGAGGGGAAGGCTGAACCAGGCCAAGCCATGGTCACAGCTGGCCAGGGTCATGGTCACAGCAGCTCTCCCCTGCATGAGGCTGGGGCTCCAATTTGAGGCACCCCGTGACCACCAGAGCCATCCCATCCCATCCTATGGATCCCATCCCATCCCATGGATCCCATCCCATCCCAGGAAAAGGGGCTGTGGAGCTTCAAGGAAAAGCTCCGGGTCCTGCAGAGGCAGCGTTAAAAGCTGCCATTAGGAGCCATTGTATTTAAATTAGAGATAATCTCGGGCACAATGCGGGGAGAGGACATGGGGTGGGACTGGGGAGAAAGCTGCAATTTCCCTGCCATTGTCACTCGGCTGTCCCTGATTGCCAGGAGCTGCTGTAAATCCCAGTCATTTACTGAGCCAGCCTGTAATTTGCGCCACGTGCGGGGAGCTGAGTGTCACCAGCTCGCTGTCACCAGCCCCAGCAGGCTGGGACGGGCTGGCAGCGCTGCAGGGACAGGGACAGGGACAGGGACAGGGACAGGGACAGGGGCTCGTGTGTGATGTGTGCCCTCCTGCCTCCCCCAGGACAGAGTCGGTGGCCGAGAAGATGCTGACCAACTGGTTTGCCTTCCTGCTCCACAGGTTCCTCAAGGTAAGGAGGGGTGGAGCAGGGACCCTGCTCTGCTGTGTCACCCTCCAGCCACCCCCGGGGTGTGTCTGGGGTGAAATTCTTCCATCAGGCTCCAAGAGATGGAGTAGCAGGGATGGAGAGGCGGAGATCTGCTCTGGGGCTGCTGCTCCATGCTCACAGCCTTCCCAAGCCTCGGGTATCCCGGAGTAATTCCCACTAAAGGAGGTTCTGTTCCACCTCTTGGGTACTTGAGGGAAATTCTCACATCTTCCTGCCTCGGCTTCCACAGTTTTTAACTTCATTTGTAGCTTTGCGAGCCCCACTGAATTTGCTCTAGGGGAGTGAAGGGTGAGATCGAGATCTCAAATTCCATTTTTTTACAGCCATATAGGTTCAGGAGGGATTTATCCTGCCAAACACAACACAGCCATGGAGCAGTGGAGCTCAGGGCTTTGGCTGAGCTCTGCAGGAGCTGCTGGGGCTGAGCCTGTGCTGGGGGCAATCCAAGCGGGGCTGGCACAGGAGGAGAGGCACCTTGACCCTCTGTGTCCTCCTCTGGTGCAGGAATGTGCTGGAGAGCCCCTGTTCATGCTCTACTGTGCCATCAAGCAGCAGATGGAGAAGGGCCCCATCGATGCCATCACGGGGGAGGCGCGCTACTCGCTGAGCGAGGACAAGCTCATCCGGCAGCAGATCGAGTACAAGACCCTGGTGAGTGACAAACCCTGCTGGCCCCGGGCTGGGCTGGCCCTGCTGGGTCCCTGGAGCAGCGATCATGGCCCTGCCTGAGCTGTGAGCTCTGCTGGGCAGTAAGGACACGTGTCCCAGCCAGGTGTGGCCCCAGTTCGAGGGGAATGTGTTGTCACCCTGTGCTCTGGGCACTGCCCTCCTGCAGCGAGTGAAACTGGGCATGCAGGGCTCCTCTCCCAGCAATAACTGTGTAAATATCACTGGTGCAATAGCAGTGGTGCATTTAGGGCTGCAGTGGCGTTTTCCATGGGAAGAGGCTGTTGTGACACGTGGTTGCAGCTCTCCTTCAGAGCACGGTGTGGTTCTCCTCTTGCAGATCCTGAACTGTGTGAACCCAGACAACGAGAACAGCCCGGAGATCCCCGTGAAGGTGCTGAACTGCGACACCATCACCCAAGTCAAGGAGAAGATCCTGGACGCCGTGTACAAAAACGTCCCCTACTCCCAGAGACCGAGAGCTGTGGACATGGATTTGGGTAGGAGGGTGATCAGAGGGGCTGGGGGTGATTCCTGGTGGGCTTGGCAGAGCTTGGCCCCCTCTGACCGTGGCTTTCCCTGTGCCAGAGTGGCGGCAGGGCCGGATCGCCCGCGTGGTGCTGCAGGATGAAGACATCACCACCAAGATCGAGGGGGACTGGAAGCGCCTCAACACCCTGGTGCACTACCAGGTGAGGGAGCAGCCCCACTGGCAGCCCCCAGCAGGCTGCCAGCAGGGAAAAGAACACCAGGAACCGAATTCCCAGTGCCTGCTCTGCCCAGGCAGGCAGGGAGGTCACGTTTGTGTGATAAAGCAGAAGGGTTCCATGTGCTGCGGCATTAGGGGGGAAAGCAACCTTGACACGGAGCTCAAAGGGAGCAGCAGAGTTGAAAATTGGCTAAATGAAACCTGCCAGCCTTGGGGGAGAGGCAGAGGGAGCGGTGCAGGGGCTGAGCTGGGGATGAGGGGCCTGGGGAGGGCAGCACGGGGCGCTCAGGACTTTGTCTGGGGTCTGGCACAGCCTGGAGTGCAGCAGGGGAGGAATAAAATCACAGGGAAGTGGAGCCAGGCAGGGAAATGCTCAGACAGGGTGGGTGAGAAGGTCTAACAAATTCCTGCTGTCTTTATCTTCTGGATAGGGCAGAGTCTGTTGGAAAGGGCTGCTCACAGCGTGAAAGATGGGAAAAGAGGGAGCTGGGGAAGGTTTGGATAGAGGCAATCAAAGCAAAACATGGGAAGAGAGGCAAGGAGGGAGCTGGGGAAGGTTTGGATAGAGGCAATCAAAGCAAAACATGGGAAGAGAGGCAAGGAGGGGGCTGAGGAAGGTTTGGCTGCAGGGAATCAAAGGCTTTCCCTCCCAGCCTGTCTGCAGCACAGGATAAGTGCATTAATTGGGACTGTAACCTACTCCTGTCCATCACCACCTCCCCAGAAGTGTTTAGTATTTAATCTGGCATCTCTCCCTGTTTATCCAGCATCTCCAGTCCATCAGCCTGACTCACGCTGGGGGACTTGAATGGGAGCCAGTATTGACAGGAGCCCTGCAATCAGGCAGGAGAGTGCCATCAATATGCACAGTGCATGTTAAAAAGCACCTCCAGGGTCAACTTTTCCAAGCAGCCCCCAGGATTTAAACACAGATTACCAAAAAATGTCAGAGGAGTTGCGCAGATTAATTCCATTGTTCCCAAAAATCTGTTTTACCTGACAGTTGCAAGGGATTAACCAACAAGCAGGGAAGCAGCAAGACTTTATTATGCCTTGATCTTTAAAAGTCATCGTGAGGAAGTCACAAGTGAAAGCTGTGCTTGTCTGATGTGTGCTGGATGCTGGGGGAGGGAGCACTTTTGTTCCAGAGCCTGTGGGAAAACCTGAGCCAAAAGCTTCCCCTTAAAATAAACAAAATCCTCGCAGCACTCGAGGTGCTGCAGCTCTTGCTGCCATTTGAATGTCAGGTTTGCTCTGGAAGAAAGGAGAAGTTGGCAGCCAAGCATCCAGCCAGGTAGTGACAGGAGCCCGAGCCCTGCTCAGCCCAACAGAGCTGTCTCAGTCATTAAAGAGAAGCCAAATTCTTTTCACTGCAGCAGAAACCCTGTCAAGGCGAGGCTGTTGCCAAAAGCTAACATATATATAGATATCGATATATATATATATATATATATATATATATATATATATTTTTTTTTTTTATTCTTACCAGTTTGGGGTTTTTTTTCTGTTGGAGTAGAAGTTTTATTAGGTATCAAAAATACAGACATTCCAGGACTACCCAGTAAAACAGACACCTGGGTGAAGGCCCAGCTTTAGGAGGGTATAAAATCCCTGGGGTTCCACGTGCTCTCACCGTTTAACAGCAGCGTGACACATGAACCAGGTGTGGTTCAAACCATTAAAATAAACGTGGATTTCCAGAGGATCAGTAAAGATGATTTCTAGGAAAGAAATGAAAGCAGCTTTGCAAAGCCCTGCCCATTTTATATTCAGAGCTGTTTTGTCTTTACCCTGCTCTGAAGGCAGGGACATCCCTGGGTCTGCAGGTGGTGCTGGGGGCTGCTCAGCCCAGGTTCCATCCCACATCCCAGGGGTGTCCCCTGGACAGGTGCTGCACCTGGGAGGCTGCAGGACCCTCCTGGTGCTCAATTCCCTGCTCCTGATTGCCAGGATCATTTCCCACAGCCCCATTCCTGCAGCTCCAGGGCTCCAAGGCACCCTCCTCCTCCTCACTGTGCCCCGAGGGTGGTTATTTAACCCCCAGCTCCACATCTGGATGCTGCATTTTGTTGCTTTTGTTTTCTGCATTAGAATCACAAAAATGTAATAACTGATCAAATGCATTTTTCATGGGAAGCCTTCACATTCAAAACCCAAATTGGAATTAAAGAGAAATGTTCACCTTTCTAATAGTTTTGAACCACTTCATGAAATTATAGAGAGAGCTGTGCACCTCCTGCTTATTTCTTCATTTATAAAAATAGATGTGTAGCTTAAATAAGTGTAATTCTTTGTTAAATTCTCCGGAGCTGTTAGACATGGCAGGGAATTGTATTACATTTGTGTCATATCCTTTTGGTTCCGTGGCTATTAAACTCCATGGGAGAGTCTTACCCCGTGTGGTTTCACTCAGGAAAAATGAAACACTGAATTTAATATCGAGTGATTTACAGTGGCTCACGCAGGGTTAACTCAGAGGCAGCAGAGCATGAATACCTGTCAGGCCCTGCCAGTCTGGAGAGGCCAGGAGACCAGGAAACTGCTTTCAATGAAAAAATAGGAGGAGAAAGGGAAGGTTTGGGTGGAAAATGAGGCTTAGGAGGCCAGGGTGGCGTGGACGCAGAGCTGGAATCGTCGTCGCGCCCTCGCTGCCCCACGCAGACACAGCTCCAGGGCCTGGCCTCCCTTCTCCCCCTCCCAGGTTTTATTTTCCCTGTCTTTAAGGTGTTTCGTGCCCCGTGTTTCCAGCTTGTGGAATAATCAGGGTATTTATAAAGTTGTGAAGCAGCCAGGCAGCCCGGGGCGCTGCCGGGGGCGCTGCGGGAGCGGACGCGTGCTGCACCTGAGGCTGCTCTGCAGCTGCTGGGGCTGAGCTGACAGCAGCCGTTCCACCCCAAATTTACTGAGCGAGAGGGCTCTTTTGTGTGTCCGTGTGTGGAGTTTTCAGTGCCTCTCTCCCAGTTAAGCACAGCCCTGGTGGAAATGGATCCGGCACGGGAGCACCCTGGGCTCGGGTTTCTCCCTGGTGAGATGGAGCAGAAGTGGCAGCTAATAACAGCCTGAGAAAACAATATCAGCACTGATCACTCCTTCCACTGACTTAATAAATTGGATGAAGTGAGGCAGGAGCAGCAAAGGAAATTATGGAGGTGTTTGGAGTGTTTTGCTTAGAAAAATCTCACTTTTGTGCCGTGAAACACAAGTAACTATTATTTCCACTATCACCAGCAATAATAACAACTCAGATTTCCATGAAACCTTTCATCTGGACGGAGCCCAAAGCCTTGGAGGCAGCACAGGTCATTGTGTGCAGCTCACCTTGGTGCTGCAGAAAGGGTACAGACCCCTGGGGTGCAAAAACCTCAATTTATGGGGTCAGTGCTGAGTCCATCACCAGACTCCTGGCAGATAATGCAGGGTTTAGCCCCAAAAAGCAATTCCTGCAGCAGGAAGAGGCATTTCTTTTGTGCTGAGCCTCTAAAAAGTAGCTGCTGGGCCCTGGCAAGATGTGGTGACTCTCTGCTCCCTCACTGTGCTGCACCACAGGTCACAAGTTCAAAATTAAAAGCTACTCAGGCCCCTTCCCTGGAAACCTGCAGCTCCTTAATTAAGGGGAATAAGTTAGAAAACTTCCAGTGACTACCAGATTTATAGGGAGGATAAAATTAAACATGGCTACTAAAATCTGCTGTAACAAAACCTTGTTAGTGCTAATGTTCATTTATAGTTTGACTTCCCAGTGTTTAATTCCTTCTCTGGAGCAGTAAAGGGATAACAATTAAATACCCTGAAAGATGGCTTTATGACTTGCTCCGCTGTAAATCAAACTTTTAAAGTTCGTAAAAATTGCTAAAATAAAAAATGGTTTAATAGGAATGTTTTATGGCCCATAACGTTATTACAGCCCTTTTATTCCCTCTGCATTGTTACTTTAATTGGATCACAACAATTCTTGAGATTCTCATTTTTATTGGGTAAGGCATAATCTTAAATCAGAACGACCAGAAGCATCTTCACCACATCTTTTGATTTATCCCTCATTTCCTTCAGGCTGCTGCTGTGGCCTGACCCAGCACAGGGCTCAGGGGTTGTGTCCTGGGCTGCCCTTCCCAGGATTTGCTGGATCAGCAGCCAGGGATCACAGGGTGGGCAGGGAATGCCCCTGAGCTCGTGGTGCTTTGCCTCCCCCAGGTGTCAGACCGCTCCGTGGTGGCTCTGGTTCCCAAGCAAACCTCCTCCTACAACATCCCTGCCTCTGCCAGCATCTCCCGGACATCCATCAGCAGATACGGTAAGAAATGGGGTGGGATGGACAGACACTGGGGTGTAGGTGGGGAAAAAGCAGCAGCTCCCCACAAAGAACCACCCAAAACAAATGGAAATCCAAACAGAAAAACATCCTTGGCTGCTGGTTCGGATTGCAAAGGCTTTTCCAGCTGTGAGAGCAGCAAAAGGACCAGGAAAGGTGAGAGGAGGGAAAAGGAAATTCCCAATGCCTTTGGGAATGTGGGGCTTGGGAAAGGTCCGAGGGCTCAGAGGGGATGGGTGATGCAGGAGAGGATCTCTGAGCCCCGTGGCCCTGAGCAGGGCAGCTCCACAGATAAACCTGATTTATCTGATCCTCCCCCTCTCCTCCCCAAGTGCACGATGCTGAGCTCTGAGCTAATGGGTCACAAATGGGGAAGGGCAATCTTAGCACAGAGTGCAGGGATGTGCACACCTGGGAATTCCTGATTTGCATAATAGAAGGGCTCAGCACATTCCAGAGGGTCCCTGAAGATGCTGCAGCCTGAGAAAATGAGCCTGCAAGGTGCCAGGTGCACGCTTGGAACACTAAATCCACAATAATTGTAATAATAGACTTCCATAAAAGGCAGCAGTGGCAAAATCTCTCGAGTGCTGATCTTTCATTATCGTTCATTTCACAGAGTGTTTTACCAGCAAAAAGTCTCTTGACAAACCCATCTCCTCCTCTTGTTTATAGCTCCCAAAATAATGTTGGTTTTTAGCTCGAGCAAGTGTTCTGAGGAGCCAAAACCAGGGGAGTCTTGAGGTAAAAACCAGGAGAAAAGGCATTTCCCCCTGCCAGGTGTAGGCCCACACATCCCATAGTGCAGGTGATGGAAAAAGCAAGGCTGGGTCTCACAGCCTGAGCCCTCAGTGCTCATTGATCTCTGTCAGCTGGAAAAGCTTTTGCAAAGCGCCAATATGAGCGATCATTGCTCATGTTGAGATTAATATTTCTAATTGTGCCGGCAGAATTTAAATTAGATACTTATTTACTTCCCCTGTCATATATCAGTACAGAGATATGTTTAAAAATAGAATTACTGCATGCTTCCTGAGCTGTCCCCCTGTCTGTCTCCTTAATTATATCAGTTGGAGCACTCATTTATCTAAGCCTTAATCAGGGATGAAAATCCAGCTACTTTGGTAATGACTTGAGTATTTCCCTCAGTTGATTTACAATCGATCCCTGCACTCCTGACGAGGAGGGTGAGCAGTGAATTGAAGACTAAACTTGAGAAAATGCACGAGATTCCCAGAGAACAAAGAAATGTAGCAGGAGGAAAAATCCAGCAGGGCACATTTGGGCTCCTCAGCCTCATGTCTCATCCTGGAGATGCTGAGGATCTGGGGAGAGACATTCTTTGGGAAGTGAAATATATAAATAAATGTGCCACATGCCCCCCATGGTTTCTGAGCAATTCAGGGAAAGCTGTCTGGTGCCTCTGAGCTCCCTTTTCCCTGCAGGGACAGCACGAGGCTGGACCTGCTCAGCCCAGGGATGGCACAGGGTGCAGGACTGGCCTCAGGCTCTGCTGTTCAGGCTCAGCTTGAGCCGTCACTGCTCTCCTGAAAGCCTCAAGGACAAGCTCAGCAGCTTCTCCTGCCCTTTGTGCTGGGCAGCTCCCCATTATTTACAAAATCCTGAAGTCAGGGCTCTGCTTCTGCAGGAGTCGGTGCTGAGGTTGTGTGTGAGCTGCGACTCAGGGAGGATTTTTGTGTGGATTTGTATCAGGAGTTCACATCAGGAAAGGACGTGAATGGGGCAGGAAAGGCCAAATATGGGAGGGGAAAAAAAGCTCAATTCTGAGGTTTTTTGTTGAAGGGAAACCAACACAGATTTTTGACAAACCCCAAATTTTAACGGCGCAGAGTGAGAACGCGTGCGAAACAAAACCATGGCGGTTTTCCATTTCATTTCCCCACCAAAAAAAAAAACGCCAAAAAACCCCAATGCAAATTATTTGGGTGTTATCAGCCCTGGTGAGGGCACTGAGGGAGGTGCAGAAGGAGTGACCAGCCTCTCTCCCTGGCTCAGACTCCACGTTCCGCTACACGGGCAGCCCCGACAGCCTCCGCTCGCGCGCGCCCATGATCACCCCCGACCTGGAGAGCGGCGTCAAGGTCTGGCACCTGGTCAAGAACCACGACCACGGCGACCAGAAGGAAGGGGACAGGGGCAGCAAGATGGTCTCTGAGATCTACCTGACCAGGCTCCTGGCTACAAAGGTAACTGAGCTGGATTCAGCTGGGCAGCGCGCGGTGAGGCGCGGCGAGGGGTGCTGGTGGTCTCAGCTCCCAGCCTGGCTGGGTTTTCCTGGGATTGGGAGAGTCCTGGAGCAGCTACAGCACAGCCCAGATTTCCTCACACTCAAGGCAATTGCTGCAATTCTCTTTTTTTTTTTTTTTTTTTTTTGCACAATGTTAAAACTGTTCATCAATTCACAAATTGGTGAATGAAGCAGTGCCTGGAAATATTTACCCATTTCCTCGACCAGACATGATTCTCCTGCTTTTCCCCACGTGCTCATCAGTGTGGATAACACAGCTGTGCTCTGGAAAGCAAAAAAAATTTATTTCAGGTTAGAAATAAAGAATAAATGAATGAGTAGCTGCGGGCTGGGGCTTTTTGAAAGACCCTGACCTTGGTTATTCCCAAGGATCTGTGGTGGCACTTTTTGGGGCTGGTGTCCCTTCCTGCCACCACTGCTTGGCCAGAGGAGTGCCTGTCCCTCCCCTCACCCCTGGATTGCTGCTTCTGTCACCAAAAATGCAGGAAAAAACAAAAACTCTCCGACAACATCTTTTCAATATTAGAGAATTAAGTTTACTTTATTCTGGCCAGGATGTGCAATAGAAATTATCTCATCCACACATGTCTGGGTTGTGCATGAAAATCCTTCCATCACACATGGGGTTTTACCCCATTTTTCACATATTTATACATAAAACCTCCAAGGAAATTCACATTCACTGCTTCTAAATTACACAATTCTTAGTACTTGATCTCCTATTGGTTATTGATCCTTTCAATGCTAACTTGGTCCTCATGCTTTGGTTCTCTTAGCAATCATTTCCCAGACCAGGTATCTGATCACACTGGGTGTTTGTCAATGTTCATTTATCCCCTTTGTATCTTCTGGCCCTGGGAATCTCCTTTTTGTTGACTGAAGCCCATAAGGCCTCACCCAGAAATTCTGAAACCCTTGGTGAAGCAGAACCTTTCCAAGAGAAACTTCAATTCCCCCCACCCCGAGCAGAGGCGAACAAAGCCCCGAACAAAATTACACTAAAAAAAAACAACCTAGAAGCTGTCTGAATTGCCATCCTGCCATCAGGGCACGCTGCAGAAGTTCGTGGACGACCTGTTTGAGACGCTGTTCAGCACGGTGCACCGCGGCAGCGCCCTGCCCCTCGCCATCAAGTACATGTTTGACTTCCTGGACGAGCAGGCGGACAAGCACGGCATCCACGACACCGACGTGCGCCACACCTGGAAGAGCAACTGGTAACGGGGCAGGGAGGCACACCCGCCTGATTCTGGGCAAAAAAAAAGATGTGGGGGGTGGTTTTGGGAAGGATTTGGGACAGCCAAGCACCAAAGGGGGACGCAAAGGTGGGGTTTGAGCCTCGGTGGGCTGGCAGTGTTCACAGGGTGCTAAAATGCTGAAATATCCTGATTTGGAGGGAAGGGAGATAGCCTGGCTGTCTCTGCCCAGGGTCGGAGATGGACACTGCCCTCAGGCTGTAGATCTGCACATCTGGACTTGGGGAAGAGGGGGAAGCAAGGCTCCAGTGCCTGCCCCGTGCTGCCTGCACAGCCCTGCTGTGCCACAAATGCCAGCCCTGGCTGGGAGGGGGAGCTCAGCCAGTGGCTGCACCTTTCCCATCCCTTTGGGAAGCACGTGGAGCATTTGGGCATCAGCAGGAGGTGGCACAGGGAGAAGGAGCCAGTTCTGCTTGCCTAAGGCATGGGCTGCAGCCAGGTCCAGCCTCTCCAAACAGTGGGAGCTCTCACATCTCTGCCTCTGCTGCTATTTTAGGATTAAAACCTCTGTGGGTTGGAAATTTACCTCTGCAAGAAAGGAATAAAAAAGCACAACAAATGGTTGTTCCCTGAAGACCTTGTATTTTCCCCTGAGTCCCTCATGGTTTAAAAGGCCTCTAATCATCATGGCTGCAAAAACTGCTTCCCTGCTAAGGCAGTGGGAAGCTCAAAACAATTCATTTAAAGCCTTAGAAGGAGTTAGTGGGATAAAAACTATAGAATCACAAGACATTATGAGAAAAAAAGAAAGCAACGACCACCAGAGTTTGGTCTGCCAGAGCAAATAGCCCCCACCAGGCCTGGACCTTCCTTCTCCCCATCCCAGCTGAGCTGCAGCATTTCCAGAAAGGGAATTTTTGTGAGGATGTGAGAGAAGGCTGCCCCTGGAGCAGGTTGAAGCAAATGGAAGTTTGGAGGAGGGAGCTGGGGTGGCTGGGGCTGGGGCTGAGCTGCTCTCCTGCAGCACTGCAAGAGTTAAGGCTGCAGCCTTCAGCGAGCTGGAGAGACAGAGAGAGCTGCGACTTGAAAGGTAATAGAAAGCAGCAGCTGCTTTTTTGATCCTGCTATACAGCCAAAGAAAAAAAGGAATAATAATTCCCCTTTGATTGCAAAGGCCCCGGGATTTGGGGACAAAGCCTGTGGTTCCTGCTGCCAGCTCGTGGGTGCCGGAGCGCGGCCGGGCAGCGCTGATTAGTGCCAGGGCTGCCCTGCTCACCCCACACTGCACCCTGCTCTGGTGAGCTCCTCCTGGTGGGCTCCTCCTGCTGATGCTCCCCCAGTACCCCCAAACTGCCCAGCTCTGCCCTGCCCCTCATCTCCTCCACTGCTCCGTGCGGGATCTGAGCCCGGAGCAGCTGCTGGGCATGGCAGGATCCACCAGCAGCCATCTGGGCAGCACTGGGCTAACTGGTGCTTGATGGCCTTGGCCCAGCTCCTGTTTAAATTCTTCTCTTATTGTTCCCACCATTTTTGTTCTGCCTGGGAGCACCATCCACAGCACGAGCCCTTTCCTCGCCTTTGTCTTCTCATTTCATTTCAATTCCCTCTTTGCCTCCCAGCCTTCCCCTCCGCTTCTGGGTGAACGTGATCAAAAACCCGCAGTTCGTGTTCGACATCCACAAGGGCAGCATCACGGACGCCTGCCTGTCCGTGGTGGCTCAGACCTTCATGGATTCCTGCTCCACCTCGGAGCACCGCCTGGGCAAGGACTCCCCCTCCAACAAGCTGCTGTACGCCAAGGACATCCCCAGCTACAAGAGCTGGGTGGAGAGGTGAGGGCAGCACGTGGCAGTGTGGGTGCAGGGTGCTCCCAAACCCCATGGGTCTCAGGACAGAGCATCCTGAGTGGAAGGGAAGAACAAAGACCACCAGTGATGCTGCAGGGTGGTTCTCAGCCCCGCCAAGCACCGCTGCTCCTGTTTTCAGCTCATTACAGCCCAGAATCCCGTTTTGCTGGATGTAAACACAAAACAAAAAGATGTTCGTATCCCTGCAGAGCTTAGCTTAAACCGCAGGGGGAACAGGGACATTTGGGGCATTCCTGTTTCTCATTCTTGCCCTGACCCCTCGTTCCTGCAGGTATTACGCGGACATCGCCAAGCTCCCGGCCATCAGTGACCAGGACATGAACGCCTACCTCGCCGAGCAGTCGCGCCTGCACGCCGTGGAGTTCAACATGCTGAGCGCGCTCAACGAGATCTACTCCTACGTCAGCAAGTACAGCGAGGAGGTGGGTGTGGGCAGCAGCGTCCCCTGGAGTGATGGTATCCCCTGGGAAACGGCGCTCCCTGGGCCATGGTGGTGTCCCCTGGGCAATGGTGTCCTCAGAAGTGATGGTGTCCTCTAGGCAACAGTGTCCCCTGGGCAATGGTGTCCTCTAGAGTGATGGTGTCCTCTGGACTTTAATGGTGTCCCCATGGCAATGGTGTCCCCTGGAGCACTGGTGTCCTCTAGGCAACAGTGTCCCCTGGGCAATGGTGTCCTCTAGAGTGATGGTGTCCTCTGGGCCATTCTGGTGTCCCCTGGAGTGATGGTGTCCCCTGGAGTGATGGCGTGCTCTGGGCTGTAATGGTGTCTCCTGGGCAATGGTGTCCTCTAGGCAACAGTGTCCCCTGTGCCATGGTGTCCCCAGGGTGTTAGGGCCCCATGGCAGTGTGTGGGAGAGCAGATGCAGTGCTGGGTTGTGTCGGGACCCCTCTGCTGCCTCCCAGAGCTCCTTGCCCTCCCTTCCCTGGACGCAGCCCGGCCGTAGCTGGCGCCGCTCCTGCCCCGCTGTTCTCTTCACGCACAGAGGGATTTGGGATTGGCCACACTTGTAGTATCCTCCCCAGGAGCACTGAGAGCTAAAATATTGTGGGAGCACCTGGATACCTCAGCTCAGGCATGCACCCAGTGCAGTGGAAAATATTCATGACCCATCAAAGCTCCCCAGAAACCTGGGTGTCCTTTGGGAGCAGCACGGTCCAAATCCCTGTTGTAGTGGCACAGGCTCCTGTTTGCAAAGGCTTCCTGGCAGCCTGAGCTCCTTTAATGAATGCATCACTTGAAACCAAGTTCTAGCCATCTGTTCCACCCCTTCATTTCGCTGCAAGAAGAACCGATTTTGTAATTATGTCCGTGAAACGGAAGGGTTTTGTCATTGAACTGCATGTAGCCATTTGTGATACAACGCCACGGCTATTTTCCCATTAGGGTTGAAAAATCTCATCACTTTCCTGCTAAACGAGACAAGAAACGTGGAGTCCAAGGCACCAGAGTGGTTTTTGTTGGGTGGGTATGGAAGGGTCCAACAAACCAACGACAGCCAAGTTGCTTTGCTATTTATTGGGATTTCACAGCTCCCCGCTTGGGTTGCTCACATCTCACTGCCCACCTCTCCCACCCCCTCTCTCAGGCTGATTTCTCTCTCTGATTCATTTTTTTCCCCCTTTTCCTGTTCTCTCCCCCAGCTCATCGGAGCTCTGGAGCAGGATGAGCAGGCTCGGAGGCAGCGCTTGGCTTACAAAGTAGAGCAACTCATCGGGGCCATGTCCTTCGAGAGCTGAAGAAAGGTCACGGGCAGCAAAGGGCAGAGGATCGCACGGACTCTCGGGAATTTGGAGGAGAACAAGCAAGGAAGGCACTGGACACACCCCCCAAGGCTCTGCTGGAGAGAGCAGAGCCTGGCTCAAGGACTGGCTGTGTTCAAAACTCATACAGGATCCAGTTTGAAAGGGCAGGAAGGGAAGAAGGTGAAACATCTCAATCCAAGTCCAAGCAAGGTGGATCATTTTTTCAAGTGTACGCGGAAAGAAGGAACCTGGAAAGTCTGGATGTCTTCACGACTGCTGCTTTGCATGAAAATTGTTTAATGTATATTGGAAAACAAAACTTTATTTAAAGGGGTTTTTTTGTAAAAAAAAAAAAAAAAAAAAAAAAAAAAAAGGAAGAAAAAGGAAATAAATAGAGCAAAAACCACAGAGGCCATACAGATAATCCTGGCAAGAAGGATCAGCTGTGAATCCTGTCCCTCAGAGCCTTCCAAGGACATGGCTCAGGCATTCTGCAAATGGACTCTCACGCCAATTGGAACATCTGGAAAACCAAAATGTCTTTGTTTTGGATTCTTACAACAAATACGAGCACAAGTTTGCACCACACCTTTTTACACAAGCGAAATTGCAGTTTTGCCCGAAAACAGTCCAGTGGCTGAGTAACTTAGAGGCACTAGAAGGAACTTCACCTGAATTGCAAAACCATCACATCATCCGACCTGTCTGAAACCCAGCTTTATCCATGTATTTATATAGTGTCAATATATGTATTTTTTTTTAAATCCCATTTAGTGTCGAATGAGGGAAGACCTGAATTTCATTGCTTTTCCCTTTTCCACCTCCATCCCACCTCACTGGCTGATCCAGCAGTATGGATATGGTGATCCAGCAGTGTCCAGCATGGCTGTGATTATCCAGCAGTGTCCAGCATGGCCACGGTGATCCAGTAGTGACCAGAATGACCACAGTGATCCAGCAGTGTCCAGCATGGCCACGGTGATCCAGTACTGCTGGTTCCTGCAGGTGCCACGTGAGCCAAGGCAGAGCTGGGCTGACACCTCCAGGGTTGGTTTTGGGGGTCTCCAGCAGCCACATCTGATTTCTTGCAGCAAAGCCCCCCAAACCCCGATGTTTACGGTGACAATACTTGAAGAGCCTGGATGTTGGGAGAGCAGATTTTGTTGCGTTTCTGCTGGACCTGCAGTCCTTGGGCACAGGCTCCCTTTGGGTGTCTCCGCCAGCGTTTGCCGCCTCGCCCAGGACCAGAACTTGCATTTCCACTGGGAAAGGGAGAGAAATCTTTGCCCCAGGCAAGAGCAAACCTTAACCAGCACCCTGGGCCAGCCAGCTCTGCTGTCGTGTCTCTGTGTCGGCGTCTCGTTGTTCTCCTCAGTTCCTTGCTGGCCCCCACGGCACACGTTCCTGTGGCCAGTGACAGGCAAATGTTTGTGAGTGTTATTTCTTTCAAAGACACCAAAGCTTATGTGTGTCCCTTTGTAGAGTGCCAGGAGGGGAAGGAATGCTGTAAATATTTCTCTCTGTAGTAAATATTGATACGTATGCAGGCTGCAGTGGGGAGGGCAGGGAGAGGAGGCCTAATGGAAATACAAGAGCTGGCTGCAGGAGCTTGGCAGTGGCAGCAAAATAATTCCTGGTGTCTGCCCAGGCAGTGTCACACCAGACTGGGACCTTCGTTTGCAGCCCGTGTGTGTTGAAGGAAAATCCATTTCCATCTCCATCCCCCTCCTCCACCATTCCTGCCTGGAGGAGCCCAGCAGGGCTCCCTGAGAGCTGCTGGCTTTCCGTGTCCTGCAGTCCAGCACCAGGGGAGGGGAGAAGCACGTAGAGAAATACTCAGGAAACTTGGTTTAATTACCATTCAGTAAAAGCCATGCCAAGTCCACTTTCTTTTGGTAATCCACTTCTGTGAGTCTCTCTGAAAAACAGAAAATACTGATGATAATAATCAACCTTGTGCAATAAGTTCTTGACATTTACAGCAGCCTGAGCACTGGATTTACTGAGACAGGGGGAGAGTGGCAGAAACAGAGACTGAAAGGCAGAGCAGTGTTTGCACTGCCTGTTATCCAAGAGTTCCCTTCCCAGGGATCCTGCTCCTTCACGGTGAATCTCATTTCTGAGGCAAAAAATGTGCAAAAGTCCTGCTAAAAGTCAGGCACTGCGGAGCCCAGCGCCAGGAACGTCGCTGGAGCAGTCCCCAGCCTGGCCTGCCCTGTGCTGCAGGTACCCCAGGGCATGGCAGAGGGTCAGGCTTTGAAATCCTGCAGGTTTTTTGCTGGTTCTGTTCCTGCTGTTCCCCCTGATCCATCACACAGCTTAGGAGAGGGATTGCCAGGTCTGTTCTAGCTGTGGTTGTTGGTTTGGGTTCGCCAAGTTCTCATGGTACTCTGAAACCCAAAGAGAGCACTCCAAAAAGTTCCTGAACAACTTCCAAACACTTCCAAATACCAGTCTGGGGAGTTATCTCTGCAGGACTCTCAAAACACGAGTACAGCCCAAAGCAAAGGCCTGGCTGTGCCTCACCCGGGCCTGGTGACAATGTCCCTGCCCCGCAGCCCTCGTGGTGCTCCTCTCTGCATCCCTTTGAGAGGCTCTTGTGCAGCTTTTCGTCCTGTTTTCCTCCTCCTGCTCCCTCCCCTCTGGCCAGGAGCACCCCCTGAGCCAAGGCTTTGTCATGCCCCCTCCCCTGTATTTTCTCAGCAGACGTGGAGCTCCCCACACACCCCCTGGATTCTCTGGGAGAACGTGAATGAGACACGGGCACAACTGAGTTCATCTTCTGTGCTGTGGGACGATCTGAGCAGAGAGGAAAAAAAAAAGGGAAAGCAGCATGAGCACTTTGCAAACCAGTAAACTCTTACACTTCTGACTGAATCCTGAAGGAAACAGCAAAAACACCTCATCCGTCACCTGGAAAAGCTTCGGGAGAACAGCAGAGGGAACAGCACAGTCCTGGCTGGAGGGGTGGCCTACAAATACATTGCCAAGTATCTCCTCATGGTGGTTGACATTAATTATGGATCTTTACAGGCAATTATATGGATTGAAGCAACGTATCCCCCCGGGGCAGAGCGCTGGGAATCTCTTGCCCTGCTTGCATGCAATGTTTCCATTCCTCCTTCGGGAGGAGGAAGCTTCAGATCTCAAAATGGCATTTTCTTCTCACTCGCAGCAAACTGGACTGAGGGTTGGTCAGGAGGGGGCACTTGCCTTAGATGAAACGATTTCACATCCCTCTCATTGCCCCCTTCCTCCTGCAAGGCCACGTGGAGTTTGGAGTCTGCAGTTCGCTCCGTTTCAGGTATTCCGACATCAAAGTGGGAGACGTCACTTGCCGGGATCTCTCTGCCTGGTGTCACCGCTTGAATAATTCCGTTTAATCTTCTGCTCATGAGCTATCAAAGCACCCACTCCGAGGGGGAGCGAGGTGCTAATCAAACGCTTCTCCACCTTGAAAGCCTTTATTAAAACCCCACACAGGAGAGGGGAGCTGGCAGGCAAGGCTGGCCCCGCCGAGGAGCCGCAGCCACCAAAGCTCAGAGGGCGTGGACAGCGAGTGGTCCACGCTTTGCCACAAAGGATGGATTTAAAGGGAGGCAGGAGGGATCAGCACGGCCAAAGCGCTGGAAACCCTGAGGAATCCAGCATGGATATCCCTGGAAACCCTGTGAAATCCAGCATGGATATCCCTGGAAACCCTGTGGAATCCAGCACGGATATCCCTGGAAACCCTGGATATCCTCTCTGCAGCAGGGAGGACCCACCGTGGGGACCAGCACTGAGAAACAAAACTGCTGCCACGGCCTGGCTGCACCCCAGCAGCATTCCAGGTGTGGAATTTCAGGTTTTTGCCGAAGGATGGCCGTGGGGACAGCGGTGCCTCCCCAGGGCTGGGGCTGTGACACGCTGGGGACGGTGAGCGCAGTGCCAACACTTCATCACAGCAGTGCCTTCCACACTCTGTCTTAAAATCCTGGTGGCCCATCCCCACGTCAGTGTTCCCTCCTACCTTCCACTGGACTCCACAAAAAATGTCCCAACGTAGGAAGCAGTTTGGGTGGGCTCGTGGAGGGCAAAGGCGAGAGGGTTTAAGGCTCTGGGGTTGCATTCTGCACGCTGCTGGCTCCCAGCTCCTTGGTGGGTCTTGGTGTTCAAGTCTGTGTGGGAAAAGGGTCAGAGCCTCCCCTCCTGCAGTGGGCACAGCCTCCAAACAAGGTCTCGTTCCCAGAAGTGCCCAGGAGCCAGCAGGGATGAGGAAGGCCAGGTTGGCACAGGGCAGAGCAGCTCCCAGCACGGCCCCTGTGCTGCTCCAGAGCCTCGAGCCCCTTCCCTGGCAGCAGCCCAGCCACGTTCTGCTGTCACTGGCTGTTCTCCATCCAGTTTCCTGTGCTGTCAGAGCTCACCTGTCACAGGGACTCAGCTCCCCAAACTAAATGAAACTAAAAGAGACTGACTTGAATAAGCTGGGCCATCAGGGAGAGCTCACGTGTGACTGCGCCCTGGAGAGAAGAAAAAATGTTCCGAGGAGGGTAAATAACTGACATCAAAGATGCATTAAAATGCCACAGAGCTTCAGCCATCCTGTTCCAGATCCACATTTGCACCGGGAGTTGCAAGGCTATAGTGCAGGGAGCTGTGACATTGCACAGTTGTGTGAGGAAGAGCTCGGAGCACAGTCCTGTCCTTGGTGCAAACACCCAGCCTGGACCCAAAACCAGACACCAGCGGGTCAGAGGCTGAGGGCAAAGCACCGGGGCCAGCTCTGAGGCCACCTGCATGGGCAGGATGGTTTGGTTTTACTGAGGAGACATTCAGTGGGGGAACAACCAGAGTGAGAGATGTGTGCACTGCGAGGGCACCGCTGGGGATCCGCTGAGCTGAGCAGCCCCGGAGGGGCAGTTTCAGTGCAGCTTGGTCAGGTTGGTTTTGCAGGGGAAGAGGATGGGAGGTTTGGACCAGTTTTGCCTGTCTGGAAGGCTTTGTTAAAGCCCCTTCACCCTGAAAACCCCCAGATTTGGGTGCTGGTCCTGTTCTGGGCAGGGAATGGAGCAGCGGCTGGAGCCCCAGCTGCAGGTGGTGCCTGGTGCCTTCCTGGCTCCTGGAGGAAACTGGGGGTCTGTGGTGTGAGCCCTGCACCCCAGGGTGGTCAGAGAAGGGGAGGTGGAAGGGTGGGGCAGTGTGGGCTGGTAGAGCCCCCCTGCTCCGTGCTGGAAAAGCCACTCTGTCCCTCCAGGGTGTCTGTGCCCGCCCGGCTGAGGTGGCACCAGCGGTGTCGTGGCCGTGCTGTGAGCACAGCAGTGTCTCTGTGCTTGTTCTTTCAGATCCCCCTTCATCCCCGTGTTTCCCATCCCTCTCCTTCCTTTGTGACCG